GCCATTTTAACCTAAATACTGTTAATTAGAGGTTCAGAAAATACCCACTTTTCTCAGAGCTCTTCGGTTATCAGCAAATACTTCTGTTAAAAGCTTTAATGTCGAGCTCACAGTCACGTCTCTACAGTCAGTGCTTAATCAATGAGATTTATGCTCTTACCATAAACGCACGTCATGAGGTATCCAGTTAAAATGACTTTAATAACCATCATCATCCCCACCATAGTGCAAGTGTTCCCAGTTTTTTTGTAAATTAAAATTAGAAGGATATCAAATAACTGCTGAGTGCACCACAGCACTTTCACTTTTGATTTCAACAACTACCACCGCATTATTCAGGAGTTTACTGCCTAGAGTTGTTTATATCCGTTCTTCACTCCATCGATGGCGATCATCATACGTGCTGGACTTTAAATTTAACGCAATCTAAAAGTAAACAATAAAGGCAGTTCAAGAGTCTGTGCAGCTGTTTCTTTGTCAGGAGCATGCGCACTGTAGCAGTGGGTGGAATGAAAGTGAAAGCGAACAGGCAGGATCGCCCAATGACAGAGCAGAGGTCCGTCATCAGTCAATGCGGAAACAAGCACACACGCTCATTTTAACGTAAATCGACAACATAAATAAAATATATGGATGAATGAATTAATAATTAAATAAATAAATCTTCTTTTGTCTGTTTGGTTTTAGGGTTACCAAAGTGGATCATGGTAGGGACAGGGACTGGACATCCATGCTTTGTCCAGTTAACACACAAGCATGTCTCCAAACCGTTCAACCAGAGGTGTCTCCACTGTGTCCCTCTGATGTGTCTGATTTCTTATAGACCCTAATGAAGACTTAGATTCTAAATGTATTGGTCTGTTTTGTTTGCTGAATTTCTCCAAGAATAAATTGTTACAGGATTTTATCCTGGGCTCTGTGTTGGCCCTGCGACAACATGGTGACCTGTCCAGGGTGCACCCTGCTTCTAACCTTATGGTACTGTAGCTCGGATAGGCTCCAGTGTTGCTCAAGTTCAGATAGTTATAGACACAATGTGCCCCCTATGTTTTTCTCCTAAGCAAAATGATTAAATTCCTGCATGTCTCCTGCTTCACCACTGAGAAATGCACATACTCCAGTTTGCTTGTTTGAATCTGCCTGTTATCCATGTTTACAATGCAAAAGCAAAACACCAAAGCCTGAAACAAAAGTACAGTGGGATGCAAAAGTTTGGGCAACCTTGTTAATAGTCATTATTTTCTTGTATAAATTGTTGGTTGTTACAATAAAAAAAAAATGTCAGTTAAATATATCATATAGGAGACACACACTGTGATATTTGAGAAATGAAAAGAAGTTTATTGGATTTACAGAAAGTGTGCAATAATTGTTTAAGCAAAATCATGCAGGTGCATAAATTTGGGCACTGTTGTCATTTTAGTGATTCCAAAACCTTTAGAACTAATTATTGGAACTCAGATTGGCTTGGTAAGCTCAGTGACCCCTGACCTACATACACAGGTGAATCCAATAATGAGAAAGAGTATTTAAGAGGGTCAATTGTAAGTTTCCCTCCTCTTTTAATTTTCTCTGAAGAGTAGCAACATGGGGGTCTCAAAACAACTCTCAAATGACCTGAAGACAAAGACTGTTCACCATCATGGTTTGGGGGAAGGATACAGAAAGCTGTCTCAGAGATTTAAGCTGTCTGTTTCCACAGTTAGGAACATATTGAGAAAATGAAAGACTACAGGCTCAGTTCAAGTTAAGGCTCGAAGTGGCAGACCAAGAAAAATCTCGGATAGACCGAAGCGACGAATGGTGAGAACAGTCAGAGTCAACCCACAGACCAGCACCAAAGACCTACAACATCATCTTGCAGCAGATGGAGTCACTGTGCATCGTTCAACCATTTGGCGCACTTTACACAAGGAGATGTTGTATGCAAGAGTGAAGCCTTTTCTCTGCCCACAGCACAAACAGAGCCGCTTGAGGTTTGCTAAAGCACATTTGGACAAGCCAGCTTCATTCTGGAATAAGGTGCTGTGGACTGATGAAACTAAAATTGAGTTATTTGGACATAAGAAGGGGTGTTATGCATGGAGGAAAAAGAACACAGCATTCCAAGAAAAACACCTGCTGCCTACAGTAAAATATGTGGTCATCAAGACAACGACCCAAAACACTGCTCAAAATCCACTAAGGCATTCATGCGGAGAAAAAAGTACAACGTTCTGGAACGGCCATCTCAGCCCAGACCTGAATATTATTGAAAATCTGTGGTGTGTGTTAAAGAGCGCTGTCCATGCTCGGAAGCCATCAAACCTGAATGAACTAGAGATGTTTTGTAAAGAGGAATGGTCCAAAATACCTTCAACCACAATCCAGACTCTCATTGGAACCTACAGGAAGCGTTTAGAGGCTGTAATTTCTTCAAAAGGCAGATCTACTTCATATTGATTTCATTTCTTTTTTTTGTGGTGCTCAAATTTATGCACCTGCCTGATTTTGTTTAAACAATTATTGCACACTTTCTGTAAATCCAATAAACTTCATTTCACTTCTCAAATATCACGGTGTGTGTCTCCTATATGATATATTTAACTGACATTTTTTTTATTGTAACAACCAACGATTTATACAGGAAAATAACGACTATTAACAAGGTTGCCCAAACTTTTGCATCCCACTGTATAACTGAGACTTATGGAAAATTCAAAACATCTACAAGTATTTCATGTTGAAGCCGAGTGAGATCTATAGGTTGGCACTCGAGTGGAGAAAAGCATAAATTGGCGAATGTGTTCACAAGAATCAGCATCTTCTGCTGGCAAGCATGTGGACATAATCATAATGAATGAGGTGAATATGATCAAGTGTAGAGGTTTGATCAAGGTGATGGCATTGTTGTAGTGTGACCAGAAACATAGGGGAGACCTGGTGGGTTCTGATATTATTAGATCACATGAAAATCTGCAAATCAACACCATAAGAGGAAGGGGGGGAAGTATTCAATAAGCAAATATCAAATAACACATGCAATTGAACCTGTTAAATTTGATACAGGTTGCCCGTTACAACATAACTATTTGAAGTCATAATTAACTGGTCTTGCAACTATGCTTGCTCTCCTGGCTCCATTTATACTCATGATATACTCTTACACTTAAGGGATTTTGCTGTCTGACAACAGACTGAAGACTTAAATGTGTGATTAAATGCCTTTATGCTAACAACAGATTGTTACCTGGTATGCACTCAACCCACCAGCTGACAATCCCAGCAGCCCAGTGTCTCTGTCACCCTGGCACGAGTCCTTCCCACCTTCAGGGAGTTCAGCACAAAACATGTTATTTGTTAATTCTGGTATTTCATGTGTCTCCTTGTGGAAATACACATGCTCATTATTGAAAGACCAAAGCCCGAAACCAGCGTGAAAACAAAAATACAGCAGTGACTTCCTGTAAATCTTTTCCACAAAATTAGTGAAATTTATACATGTTGTTACTTAGGGGAGAAGAACAAATTCAAAAATTTATGAGGAAAATGTTTACTCCTTTTAGATAAATATGATACTTTTAAAAAATCTAATGTATTTATTTGCCTCTTATTTCAGTTATGTGTGTAGTACCCTCCTCTGGCAAACATATGGGCATTACACATGAGATTATGAGATCTACTTTTGCACTCTGATCAAGTCAGTACCATTGCTGTAGTCTGTACTGCTGGAGTAGTTGTACTCAGGGTGAAAATAGACTGAGCTGCTTACTGAAGAGAGCGCTGAAATGTTCTGATATCATTAAGTTACATAAAAATCTGAAACCAGTAGATACAGAGGTCCCATTGCTTTTGCAGGATGAGAGGATAAGGTTGAGAATATTGGGGAGACTGGATTTGTCCATGTATGACAGGCTCAGTGTTGGAGAGCTGCCGGCACTCGCTCACTGAAAACCACAGACACCTGGAAAAGTGAAAAAATCAGAGCGCTGGAGCTGAGTCAGTCGTCCAAGGTTGATGCAAACAGAACAAGAGCAAATAAAGTGATGCAATCGCTGATTTTTATTTTAATTTTAACATCAACTTTCTTCTAACACCAAACTGGTTTCTTCTATATTACTAACAATTTGCTCGCCTTGTTCAATTTTAACAGCTTCATGTCTAGAACATTGGTTGTAGACGGAGCATAATGATTAAAAAAAACACCATATAACAAAAAGCTCTAAAATCTTGATAGGCTTTGTGAGCTAAATTGGAAATTCACAAAAGAAAAAGAAAAACAGCCCATGTCTGTAAAGCTCTGGCATTGATTGAACTTCCAGAAGAGATCTCTCAGACTGGAATGAACCATGACTGTCACACAGAAGATGATTAGCTATATTTAGCACTGGAATTTGAACTGGACTTTTTGTGGTAAATGGTAAATGTTGTATTTATATAGCGCTTTACTAGTCCCTAAGGACCCCAAAGCGCTTTACATATCCAGTCATCCACACATTCACACACTGGTGATGGCAAGCTACATTGTAGCCACAGCCACCCTGGGGCGCACTGACAGAGGTGAGGCTGCCGGATACTGGCGCCACCGGGCCCTCTGACCACCACCAGTAGGCAACGGGTGAAGTGTCTTGCCCAAGGACACAACGACCAAGACTGTCCAAGCTGGGGTTCGAACCGGCAACCTTCCGATTACAAGGCGAACGCCCAACTCTTGAGCCACGATCGCCCGTCTTCAAGCTTCTTCTTTTTTTCTTTGTTTGCTTTGGTAAAAACAAGTAGAAACATGATTTGTATGGGAGAAAAAATGCCAATAATGCCTCGAACATGGTTGCACATAAAAGCCGAAAGAATTTAAGTTCGTATCAAGTACAAACCTGTAGAGAATGAGCCGAAGGAAAAGCACATGGAAAGAGAGCGGGCCTTCTTTGTTAGAGCGGGATGAAATGACTGATGATGTGTTTATCATTTTCAAAGTGGGAGGATTTGATTAATCTTTGACACAAGAAAAAAACGCATGCAGATCTGCATTAACTATCTTTATTCAAACGTAGTAAAAGACAGGCGTTACAGGGATTTAAAGACTATGCACCGACTTTCAGACAGTATTTTGTGGTTGTTTCCAGAAAGCGGAAAATCAAAAACTGAGCTTTTAGTGAAATATAGATTAAAAATTCTCAAATCAAACTCCACAGCAGAGAAAATTTAGTTTATTATGCAATTTTTTTTCTCATCGTGTATTTACACCGTGTTGTACTGAATTACTGTAACTTTAGTTCTCCTGCATGGTCTTCTGGATCCAGTTCAGGTAATTAGCGACTCTGGTATAGACTCCATATGTGCCCTTTCTTCCACACTCAACCCCCCAGCTGACAATCCCAGCAGCCCATTGTCGCCCATCTTTAGTCAGAGTGAAGGGGCCCCCAGCGTCACCCTGGCAAGAGTCCTTCCCACCTTCAGGGAGTCCAGCACAAAACATGTTATTTGTTAAGTCTGGTATGTTGTAACGTCTTCTCCTTGCTAAACTGATTGAATCCCTGCATGTCTGCTGGTCCACCACTGGGAGATAAACATACTTCAGTTGATTTGTTAGAATGCGACGATTATTCTCGTTTGTAACACCAAAGCCAGACACCAGCCTGAAAGAATACAAAACACATTCATTGTGGGCTCAGTAAAATTTTTACTAATCCAGAACCTTAAAGATAATAGCTTGTCAAAATAAAGTGGTTAACAAACAATGAGAGCACTTAAAAGTAACATCAAATTTTATACAGTGTAGATGACATTAAAGAGACTTCAAAATCATTATGACACAATAGTAGTTTGTTTACCCCATCACACCAGTATCATATGTGGCTCCCGGTTCTGGCAAACACACTGGCATTACAGATGAGTTGAATGTGAGTGTGTCTTCCAGTTTGATCAGGGCAATGTCATTGTTGTAGTCTACATAGTTGGGGTTGTTGTACTCAGGGTGAACATGGATTGAGGCAGCAAACAGAGGAGATTTCTCGAGGGCTTTTACCTCATTAAGTCCCATGAAAATCTGCAAGTCAATATCATAAAAGGAAAGACTTACCAAGGGAATCCCAATCAGACAAAGATCATGCAAAGTAATCCTCACAGTCAACTACTTACCCGTAGAGTTTCATTTGATACCACCACTCCCCTATTTACTACATAATGAGCTGCTGTCATAATCCACCGGTCTCCAATCACCATGCCTCCTCCCCTGTTTCCACTTACACTCAGTAGCACTTGCCAGGGGATTGTATTATCTGGAGCATCCTGGCCTCCAAAGATCCTCTGATACACATTGATGTGATTTGTTGGCTGACCACAAACTGGATAAGATGAACAGAACTCAGGTGTAAGCAAAGGCTTCATGCTTTCATTTTGAAGTCCTAAATTTGTTATTAGAGTATTTTATTTTGACAGCACATCAGTACCTGCTATGCAGGTTGGGAGAGGGAGTTGCCACTGCCCGTCGCTTTGACACATGGCTGAGAATGTCTTAATCTCTTGTTGTCCCTGAAAATATATGACTGTTACACACATTTTCTAATTGACAAATTCACCAAAGAAAAAACCTAAAGAAAAATGAAGAAAGATCTGCTTCTGTTGCTCAAACACAGACACATGGAGATAGCAAAAAAAACTCTATAAATATCCTGTGAGGGAAAAGAGGCTGTTAATAAAGTTCACTGATGCACACTGTAGTAAACAATGAAAATGTCATATTACCATCATCAACTTGTATTCTTGGTCACAAGTGACATGGATCGAGTCTCCACTAAAGTATTCATTTAAATCAGGAGTGATCCTGCCTTTTGTCACACTCCCTGGGTGTGGACATTTCACCTCTGTAAAGAACGCAGCAACCAAACATGAATGAACAGCATGAGAAAAATAGTTTTAAACTGCTAACGTGGAAATGCCACCTCTCCTCCTCACCATGTGTGCTATATTGCAGGCTCCAGCCGTTGCTCAGACCTTCCTCCTCAGTGTGGTAGTCCAGCCTGACTGTACTTGAGTTTGTAACTATCAGACCAGGACTCTTTGTTCCACAAAATTTCATAGCTAATCTGCCTGGAATGGTCACCTATGAGGGGAGAGATAGTGGAACGCTACATACAGACCAGAGGAGCATGGTTTGTAACTTTTAATCCCTGTGGGTACCGCGAGTCGTTACCTGTAAAAAGTGACCTTGGCAGCTTGAACCATGCTGATTATCTTTATTATCAATGTGAAAATTGTCTCTGAAGTTGAGCGTCACGATGAATCTGGGCTCCACAGAGATGATGTACTTGCAGGAGAGAAAAGGGGGTGAGGGTTTAGGATACCCTGGACTGGACAGATGTCCTTCATGCTTGTCAAAAACACACCCACCACAGGACACTGGGCAAGAACCAAAGGTCAGTATAATAATAACAGTAAGAGAATCAGTAATCAGCATACCACCTCAACCATATTCTAGCGACTGAGCTTCATATGACAAGTATTAATGTACAAAAAGGCCTAATTTCTTGTATTCGACACTTACACAGACATGTGCGCTGGTCTAAATGAAGCTTGTAACCACTGTGGCAGGAGCAGTGGTAGGACCCAGCAGTGTTGATACAGATTTGAGAGCAAAGCGGACCTGAATCCAGTCCTGGGTCTGTTTTGGAACACTCGTCTATGTCTATTTAAAGAATATTTACTGTGTTAAACTTTTCCTGAAGCTGTTGATGAAATAGTACATTAATGGGAGTTGGAAAATTTCAGGAAAACTGTACCTATTGCCTTATACGTGGCAGAAAAACCAGTATGTTGTTGATGCTCTGGTGTAGAGTCACTTGTTTGGAATACGAGAGTCAGTTTGTTGCCTGGAGAAAGGATCGTCTCGTCACCATGGTGATCAGTAGAGTTTCCCTGGCCACAAAACTTTCCCAAAACCTTTTCATCGTAGAAAAACTGGAAAATTAAGTCAAAACTTATGTTAACAAACTGCTTTTGTAAAAAAAAACAAAATTCTAAACCAACGTCTTAATTCAAATTAACTTCCAATCAAACTGAATGAATGAATACACTAAAATTGAAAACTGCAATATAAAAAGTTTTGTATCTTGTTTGAAATATTTTTTAAATTCAGATCTAATCAAAGCTCTGACTGTGAGAGAGTCTTGACTGCAGTCTGCAGAAACTTTAATATCCAGATGTGTTAAAGACAGCTGGATCTGGTAACCCCTGGGAACCCAGAGGTCCCATTGCTTTTGCAGGTGGGGAGGATAAGGTCGCGGATATTGGGGAGACTGGATTTGTCCGTGCATTTCAGGCTCAGTGGTGGACAGCTGCTGGCACTCGCTCACTGAAAACCACAGAAACCTGGAAAAGCAAATAAACAGAGAGCTGGAGCTGAGTCAGTCGTCCAAAGTTGATGCAAACAGAACAAGAGCAAATAAAGTGACACAACTGCTGATTTTCACTTTAATTTTAACATCAACTTTCTTCAATCACCAAGCTGATTTCTTCTACATTACTAACAATTTGTTCAACGTCTTCAACTTTAACAGCTATATGTCTAGAACATTGGTTGTAGATGAAGCATAATGATTAAAAAAAACATCATATAACAAAAAGCTCTGCAATACTGATAGGCTCCATGAGCTTAATGAGAAATTCACCGAAATAAAAGATTCTTTAATACAACGAACAAATTAAAAAAATCTTCATCACACTCACCAAATGATGCAGTGGGTCCAGCCCATGTTTGTAAAGCTCTGGTGTTGATTGTACTTCCAGAAGAGATGTCTCAGACTGGAATGAACCATGACTGTCACACAGAAGATGATTAGCTGTATTTAGCACTGGAATTTGAACTGGACTTTTTGTCTTCAAGCTTTTTTATCTTTGTTTGTTTTGGCAAAAACAAGTAGAAACATGATTTGTACGGGAGAAAAAAATGCCAATAATGCCTCGAACATGGTTGTACACTGAAAAAAATATGTTGTTGGATTTACTTAATTCAATGGTGGACATTTGTTGCACACAGATGTTTTGCTTCGGCAGCAACTTAAACAATTGAGTTAAATTAACACAATTTATTCATGTTCAATAAACCTGTGCAATTTGTGTTGATAAAATGTGACTTAAACATGTTTTGATGAAGTAATTTGAGCTCTTGGAATATTTTAATCCTTCACAATTTTCTCACGTTATCCCAACACGATTCAATAACTTTTACCCAATACTACTTGGTCACTTAAATACTACATGTTATCTTCAAATTACATTTGCTATTATATTCTAGTATCAATACACAATTTCAAATGGAGGCCTTATAACAGATTGTATTGTTCTCTTCCAAGATGGTTGCTGGCATCCACTAGTAACCTTTCAAAACAAAATGTCTAATTTCACTGCAGTAGGTAAAGAATTAAACTGACATTACTCCTCCACTGAATCTACATAAATCAACAGTTAAATAATGTCAGTTCTTCCGTGTTCTCTGGAATCAATCACAGTAAAGAAATTAGACTGTTTCTTTTGAAAAATGTTGGGAAAGAACAAATCAAAACATTCTATTTAAGGCCTCTGACATCAAGATTCAATTAAACAACAATTATAACTAAACAATTTGAGATAATGTTAGTTTCCATTAACATTAAATTAGGTTACTGAATTGGCAAACACCTTCCTATTAACACTACCCATTTTACCCCAATAACTAAAGAAATTAGCACTTGCAGGTCAAAACCTTTATTCAAGAGACGCAAAAATAACATTGATACAGTGACTGTCAAAAATTACAGCACTGATCATACTGTGACATCTTGGTTCAAAACAGCACACTTAGAAATATTCAACGTTCTTTACTTCAACTGAATGAAATTGAAAATACCATTTCACACGACCCATATGGGATATTTAGACTGTATAACTGTTCACGCTACATCTCTTCACTAGTAAAAGAAAGAAAAAATACAAAGAGAAATTTAAAAATGCTGCCAAAATGCTGTACAGAGCAAAAGGAAAAACAAACAACAACAACAAAAACGGCTCGTCCTCATGGCAGTTGCAGTGTATATAAAATGAACCCTGCGATCTGTTCCTGGAATTGAGCTTCAAAAATGCAGCAGAACAAGTGTGAGATTAAATGTCCTCTCACCTAGAGCTGATCACCTCACATGCATAACAGTGAGCTTTGTTGCAGGAGCAGTTTTGTCTTAGTTGTGAGCTTTCCTTGAGAGCTGAGTTGCATCCAACTCCATTACCACCCTTTGAATCACCTCAAAAGTGTAGCAGAGTTGTGATGGGTAACTCATGTTGAAGGAATAAAAAAGGTCCAAACAGCATGGCTACTGCAAAGGTCACGTTATCCAGATCTTGAAGAACAACATCAGAAAAGTCATTGCCTGGCGCATCCTCTGGAGACAGATGTTCATTGTGGTTTTCTCAATCTGTGCAGTGGCCTCAGTCAAGTCCTGGTTAAACACAAAACATTTCTTTAAGATTCCTTTTTAAACTCATCTCTTTTGAATCTACCAGTTCTAATGTTAGAGTAATTTAAACCAATGCAAGCAACATAGTAAATAGCTATAGCCAAAGAGTGGCCTGCCATGCTGCCATTCATGGTCTAACAGAGTTTCTAAGAGAGGGTGAAAAACATAATAATTTCAAATGCTTTACATTAGTTTTTGTTAGAAAGACACCGGCCCATCAGAAATCCAGGTTATGTCACTCAGAAGATGTTAGAATTTAGACTTTCAGCCCCACAATTTGGTTAGCTGTTGGTCAGTTGGTCATTTTTTCAAACAAAAGCTAATGTAAATATTGGTGGGATTTTCCTTTGTTCATTAGAATGACAAATTTAAAGTTTTTTCACACTGATGTGACCCCTAATACAGGGGTGGGGCCTCAAGGGGGGGCGGCCGAGTTCACTACCAGGCCTCATGTGAACTTCAAATTATTAAAGAGGACTACTGGTCCTAACCAGTCCAATGAGGATCAAGTGGATAACTAAATGCATTTTTAAATGTTGCAAATCCACAATCTACTCATAAAACACTCACCATGAACTCCTGCACCAAGATGTTGCAATTGTCTTTCACACAGATGTGGAGCACTTTGATGAGGGACTCCGAGCATTAATGTCATCCTTGACTATTATAACAAAGAAAACAGAGATTTGTGAACTTTTCAGTAGCACAGAAGAAAATGATCCCAGACAAAAACTCTTGACTTTTTAAACCAGTCAACATGCAACACCAGCATCTACAAAGCAATATCAAAAGTTCCTGTTTGACATCAACTTTATGGATATATAGTTTCCAGAACATATATTTTTTTAAAAAAGATAAATTTTTCTCAGTGGGCCAGTAAATGCATGACGAAAATTATGGCATCCTTTTAGTGGAATCATTACTCACAGGTAATAGTTGACTGTTTCAATGGATGTAGCATAAAAATCTTTTACTGACCTAATGCAATACATATACACTTTGTAGTTCAAGAATTTTAAAGTTCTTACTGTCATAATGGCAGCTACATCCTTTAGCTTTGTGCACTGTTCCCCCGATCACTTTGCAAACACTTTCAGCAGACTGTCAGAGAGAAACTCAGCTCCGTCAGAAACCTTGACTGTAAAGGCATGGTTGGGATGCACTGGAATGCTGCATTTTATCTGAAATGACATAAAATTATTTTGAAATAACAGCAGGCACTGTGCTTGGTTAATCAGTAATGTTTTGTTGAATAAAAACTGTGTTTCCAGATCTTATGGGATTAAAAAAAATCCAAAGATGTTTGTTTCTGATTTGCAACCCAACAACCCACAAGTTACAACCTCATTTTAGTTCAAGTGTGCATTAATGCGAGTCCAGTAATCACCTTTCTGGCAATACATACAGGTATAAGATAAACCTATGGCAGATTTTGGATTTCTCAGTTGTATTAATAGGGTGAGTATGCATGCACCTAATAATTATAAAAAACCTATTATAATTAAGTTACAGAAACGAAAATAGAATATACTTTCTTACCATAACACCTTGAACCCACAATCCATCAGCTGACTCCTGGTGAAATGCAGAATAGATGTGGTCTCTCAATGTGCATCAACAAAAACAAAAACAAAAACAAAAGGACAGCAGGTGAGGGCAGGAGGGTAGGGATGTAAGCTAGCATAATGCCGCTGATGATATTAGCTAAAGCTGTTCAATGTCCAAAATCTCACTAACACCACGGTGCAGTAAATACACAATGTAACTGAAGAGTCAGTTGACAAATCTATTCACACAGAAAACCAAATTATGTTATGAGTGCCTCGTAATTAGGTTTAATGTGATATTACGGCTCTTGTGCCAAAGACAAATGCAAATGAAAAAGCGCCAATTCTTTGACAACAGATAAAACAGCAAATAAGCTAACGGCTCTTTTTTAGCATGTTACATGGCGACACTCTAGACGTTTAACTACATTTGGCTGAAATATGGTAAACATTAATTCAAAAAATCAAGACATACCAAAAACGTAGAGTTGGCTGCTCGACTTGACTGAGATGGATGCCTTTTTTAAACCACGATCCAAAGCCCGCGAGATGAAATCACGCGTGGTTTCACGAGATTTAACGTTGCTATCTTATTGACTTACTTCACCTGAACATGATATGAACAATTTAATACACCCTTTCTGCATATCATGTAGTTTTTACACTATATAGTTACATTTAACTTTAAAACATGAGGCAATTGTGTTAAATGCATGCAAGATGCTTACATAAATCCAAGAGATGGCCAGTCCCTTTTTTTCAGTGTACATAAAAACCAAAAGAATTTAAGTTCGTATCAAGTACAAACCTGTAGAGAATGAGCCGAAGGAAAAGCACGTGGAAAGAGAGCGGGCCTTCTTTGCATATAAAAGTATTGCTTAGTAATGTTAGAGTGGGATGAAATGACTGATGATGTGGTTATTGTTTTTAAAGTGGGAGGATTTGATTAATCTTAGACACAAGAATAAAACACATGCAGATCTGCATTAACTATCTTTATTCAAACGTAGTAAAAGACAGGCTTTGCAGGGATTTAAAGATAATGCATTGACTTACAGACAGTAAATCAATAACTGAATTTATAGAGTTTTTTAATGAAATATAGATTAAAAATTCTCAAATCAAACTCCACAACAGAGAAAATTTAGTTTATTATGCAATTTTTTTTTCTCATCGTGTATTTACACCGTGTTGTACTGAATTACTGTAACTTTAGTTCTCCTGCATGGTCTTCTTGATCCAGTTCAGGTAATTAGCGACTCTGGTATAGACTCCATATGTGCCCTTTCCTCCACACTCAACCCCCCAGCTGACAATCCCAGCAGCCCAGTGTCGCCCATCTTTAGTCAGAGTGAAGGGGCCCCCAGAGTCACCCTGGCAAGAGTCCTTCCCACCTTCAGGGAGTCCAGCACAAAACATGTTATTTGTTAAGTCTGGTATGTTGTCACGTCCTCTCCTTGCCGAAGTGACTGAATCCCTGCATGTCTGCTCGTCCACCACTGGGAGATAAACATACTTCAGTTGATTTGTTATAATGCGACGATTATTCTCGTTTGTAACACCAAAGCCAGACACCAGCCTGAAAGAATACAAAACACATTCATTGTGGGCTCAGTAAAATTCTTACTAATCCAGAACCTTAAAGATAATAGCTTGTCAAAATAAAGTGGTTAACAAACAATGAGAGCACTTAAAAGTAACATCAAATTTTATACAGTGTAGATGACATTAAAGAGACTTCAAAATCATTATGACACAATAGTAGTTTGTTTACCCCATCACACCAGTATCATATGTGGCTCCCGGTTCTGGCAAACACACTGGCATTACAGATGAGTCGAATGTGAGTGTGACATTCAGTTTGATCAGGGCAATGTCATTGTTGTAGTCTACATAGTTGGGGTTGTTGTACTCAGGGTGAACATGGATTGAGGCAGCAAACAGAGGAGATTTCTCGAGGGCTTTTACCTCATTAAGTCCCATGAAAATCTGCAAGTCAATATCATAAAAGGAAAGATTTACCAAGGGAATCCCAATCAGACAGAGATCATACAAAGTAATGCTCACAGTCAACTACTTACCCGTAGAGTTTCATTTGCTACCATCACTCCCTTATTTACTACATTATGAGCTGCTGTCATAATCCACCGGTCTCCAATCACCATGCCTCCTCCCCTGTTTCCACTTACACTCAGTAGCACTTGCCAGGGGATTGTATTATCTGGAGCATCCTGGCCTCCAAAGATCCTCTGATACACATTGATGTGATTTGTTGGCTGACCACAAACTGAATTGGATACAAACTTACATATAAATCTCACACATCAATTTCCCATTAAATTAACCATTTGATCTTCATCAAGTTTTGCAGGATGGAAATGTATACCTGGTAAACAAAGTGGACTGTCAATAACTTCATGGGTTGATCTCCATTTCCTGTCTGCATCACATGTGAAGTTAACTGAGGAGCAGAAGAAGAAACAATGTGACTTTTACATTTTTTTTTGCTGATCCTCAAGAGTTTCAGTTCTCCCCCTTGTGGAAGAAATGTAAAGGGTATATATTTCCAGTTAAATCATGTTAGCATTTAAATCTTATTTAAGTTTTGAATCATGGTAGTATATATCATGTATCATCATATCAGTATGCCATGATGGTTTGACTGAATGAGAATCGCACATTATAGTTAATGGAGCCTGCTAATAGTAAAGTTTCAGAACTGTGCAAAAGGAAAGTAATGAACAGTAGGAATCCAAAACAAATTGCACTATTAACATCTCACCGTTTGCATCCCCAAGGAGAGAGTAAAATGGTTCATTGCAGCGATACTGAATAACAGAAAGATACTGATTCTGAAACCCAGAAAGGAAGGCCACGCCTCCATTCAGCAAGGGGTCAGGTTCTCCGCAATCAATTACTGCAGAGGAACAAAACAAGAAAATACAACAAAATGCACTTTGTCTGTGAACACTAGTATGGATGGAGAAGACTTTGTGTCTATATGCTTAGAGACGACCTACTGTGGCATTCTGGCAGAGGAAGGTGCCACTGCCCATTGCTTTGGCAAATGGAAGAGAAACTCTCCATCTCCCGACCATTCTTTAAAGAAGGGTATAAAAACCATGTTTTACATTATACACAGTAACCAGGAAACAATTATTTTGTTTTTCACTGTTAAAAAACACAATTTCAGCTAACCATCATCAGCTTGTATCCTTGATCGCAGCGTACATAGATGTAATCTCTGAAGAGATATTCACTCAAATTAGGAGTGACCCTGCCTTTAGCTACACTTCCAGGTGATGGACACTTCACCCCTGGAAACAGCAAAAACAATCAAACATATATTTTACACTGAGATTTAAACCCAGAAGGACAAACAGGAGAATTGCAGTTGCTTGATGACATGTTACTGTGTGTGCTGTAGTCGAGGCTCCAGCCATTGCTCTGTCCTTCATCATCAATGTGGTATTCCAGCTTGACCATGTTTGAGTTTGTGACTATCGGTCCTGGGCTCGTTTTGCCACATAGCTTTGTGGGCTGTTCGTCTCTGACAGTCAACTTTTTAGGAGAGAGTAGTGCACAGTTTATTAATTGTATGACATATAGAGACATTTTTATTTCCTGTGATTTTGATGAATCTAGGTGTGCTGAAATCGCTCGCCATTACCTCCAACCAGTGATGGAGACATTGCGGGCCCTCTGGGCTGTCCATGCTCTCAATGTGGAAGTTGTCAGTAAAGTTTAGAGTAATAGTGAAGCCCTCTTGTACAGAAATGACATACTGACAGGACACAGCATGAGGTGGGTGATTAGGATATCCCGGACTGAACAGATGCCCCTCTGGTTCATCAAATATACCACCGCCACAGGATACTGGGCATGAGAGAGAGGAAAGAAACTGAGAAAGTTTACCCTCTTAATGAATTGACTGAAGTGTTTGAGGATAATTTGGGGAGTCCTTACACAATGTTTTAAGTCCAGAATCAAAAAAGTGATAATAATTAGTGCTGTTTGATGACCCAACTGCCTCCAACATTAAACCCAGACTCCCCATCCTCTCCTCTTTTTTATAGTGCTTTTGGTAATCTTGAGATCCTATATGTTTGAATGTGTTTGTGAAGTGGAGCTAAGTTCTCCCAGCAGACTCCAGTTTGATGGTCTGAGCGCACATTCATTGGAAGCATCTTCATGGTACTCACACACACAGGTGCGCTGATCAGAGCGAAGTTCATAGCCATGATGACAGGAGCAGAGATATGAGCCAAGAGTGTTGAGGCAGATCTGAGAGCAGAGTGGCCCTGAGCCATCTCCAGGCTCTGGTGCAGAACATTCATCTATGTCTAATAATGAGAAGTCATTACGTTAGTGTGAGTTGGCGCAGCAGTAAAAGAAGGAAGTGCAAGAAACAGAGGTGGAGGAGCTACCTATTGCATGGTACTGGGCAGAGAAGCCCAGATTCTGGTGGGCCTCCGGGTTGTTGCTGTCTGATTGAAAGATGAGGGTGAGACTGTTTCCTGGAGACAAGATGGGCTCGTTGCCTGGGTGATGCCCATCAGCAGAATTCTCACTGCCACAAAATTTCCAGAGGGCCTTCTCTTTGTAGAAAACCTAAAGGATCAAAGAATAAAATCCTACATGAAAATAAGGCAAAATCCAGAAGATGAAAATTTATGTTCAGTTCATGGGTTCTTCATTTAAATGTCTAAGATGGCTAAAAGTGCCAGAAAGGCCAAACATAATCCAATGACCCGCCAGAACTAATGCTAAGTTTAGTTAAGTCAACATCAAACTGGATATAGTAATGCAGAGAAAAAAATCAGTTCAGTTATGTGTCCCTCTACCATTTTAAATTCTGTGCAACGTCACAGTAAAGACTGACTCTAAAACTTTTTGTCATAGCAGCAGCGATACAATCTGCTGATAAGCTACAGCTATCTGTTGCTGTTGTCTCCAGTGGTTATACACTGTTGTAAATTTTTAACTTACAATTATCACAATCAACAAGATGATCACGGTGATTACCAGGGTTATCATAGTTTCAGTTTAGTCTTTTTTAAGTATTATTGTATGGATGTATATTTCAGAGGCAAGATTTAGGAAAATCAAGTACTACAATAAAAACACGCATTTTTGAAAGCAGTTGACTGACAGTCCTCTAGATATCCAAAGTCTCATTAAACATGTTTGGCAACATCTCATCAGACAAGTGTCGATAAAATTTTGTGACTGCAATTATATTTTATTTTAATTTCCCAACTTTAAAAAATAATTTCAGTTAGTTTTAATTTTATTCAAAAGTTTTTCAAAACTTTTACATCTAGTTTTAACTATAATAACCTTGTTAATTACCTTGACAGAAACATGAAAACATATGTAAGTGGTAAACTCAAATCAGGTTGTCAAGCGTTACTCTTGAATCATATTTGGGTTTTCACCTTAAGCTATTTATTAATATTATGATTTTTAGGGTAATTCTGTATATGTATTGAAATATGGGTCTGACTGTAAGTGAGTCGTAGTAGCAGTTCGCAGAAGCTTCAATATCCAAATGTGTGAAGGTGAGTCGAATCTGGTAGCCCTCAGGGACAACGAGGTCCCACTGCTCCTGCAGGTTGGGAGGGTAAGGCTGAGGGTACAGAGGAGATTGGACCTTCCCGTACATTTGAGGCTCTGGTTCTGGCAGAGGTGAGCACTCACACACTGAGACATACAGAAACCTAGAAAGGTACAAAAAAGGAAAGAGTTTGATCTGTTTATCAGTCTGCAGTCATCTGATCTGCCAGTCCAAAGTTGATACAAACAGAGAAGAACAAACACAGTGGCACAATCGACACCACTGTGCAACTAATATAATATTGTCAAGACTGCATATATATGGCATACTGACTGATGAATAAAAATATAAAACACTGTTCATCTAAAGTGAATTCTTGCAGATTATCAGTATAAAAACACAAGTAATTCTCCACTATTTTCAGCAACATGATTTGAAAATTTCTGCACAAAAGTGGAAATTTATGACCAAAAAAGGGATTTTAGGAGATATTTGACAACTTGAAAATGTCTAATCCACTTACCAGATGATACAAGAGACCCAGCGCATTTTCCAATTAACCGTATCCATGAGTGAACTGGTCGGCTGCTGCGAGAGCAAATGTCTCACATTCAAGTAAAACATTAATGTCACAAAGTCTGTCGTTTCCAGTGTTTAGCAACTCTCTACGTTAATGCCAGGAATTGTTTATCTTGGCAAAATCAAGCAACTCCAAATTGCAGATAAACAGGAAAAATTTTGTTCTAAACTAGAGAACGAGACAGACTTTGCAAATTCTACATCTAAAAAATATAACATAAACTCATGCAATTTTTGAGCACAATTATCACATTAGAATAATGAAGCGATCTTGATTTATTTCACTGTCTAATCCACTCTTAATCCTCATCCTACCACCAGAGGGCGGCATTAACAGTTTTTTAGGCATCCTTGATCACAGCAAGTGTTTTCAGAGTTTAACTTGAGGCCAAGCAGACATGCCGAAACGTCTGGATGTTAAAATAGCAGGTGAAGCAACTGATTTCCAGAATGAGGAATCAGATTCATCAAGTATGTGGATGTGTTTGTTGCCTGTCATTATTTATATCAGCATGTGGTTTATTTCTGCCCTCAAAATAGCATCAGTGTTTCAGTTTCTGAAGGCGAACTGAAACAACCTGTTCCTCTCTGCTTTACCTTAGAATGTTTTGCATTAGTTCCCATAAGTCTGACGCTCTTTAGTCTTGTGTTCTTGTGTTTGTTTAACCTTGTTAGTTGCCAAAACGGACTGATCTGAGTGTAGGGGCCGCCATGCTGTTATTTTACAGACCACTAGAGGGGGCCACCAACAAAAATCTACTATTGAAAGGTTTACATTTTTTATCTGGTCGCAACAACCATGTATATTTCTCGATTTTATTTAATTTAGCTCCTCCCAGCAAAAGCATCCTAAAACTTTAACTGATCGAGGCATAGAAAATCTGTTATTTTAAGTTGACAGAGACAGGAGTCAGCTATAATTTGATACAAAATTAGAAAGTCTGTTACAATGATGCTACCTGGCTAACACATTTTAATACAGATACATTTAATACACATTTTAATGAAAACAATGAATATTTCTTAATGTTTTTTATTAAAAAGTAGTACAAAGGATAATTCATTGTTATTATTAGTAGTAGTAGTAGTACAAACTACAAAGGGATAAACCCATGGGAAAGAGTTTTTGAAGCTAGGCTGACAGGTGATGGTCACTGAGCAAGAAAGCGAACTACAGATGCTATTTTTGTTTTGATGGAGAAGTCTAGAAAAGGTCAGGAGGAATTGCACTGTGTCGTTGTTTATCTTGAGAAAGCATAAGATAGAGTTCAAAGACAGGAAGTGTGGTTCTGCATGAGGAAGTGTGGCAGAGTGAGGGTGAAAGTGAGGGTGGTGCAGGACATGTATGAGGACAACAAGGCAGTGGTGAGGGGTGTGATATGGGTGACAGACTGGGGTGGGATGATATCAGGGGTCAGCTCTGATCCACTGGACAGGTTGACAGATGAGGTCAAGCAGAGTCTCCGGGCCTGTGATTGTATGATGCTTGCAGATGACATAGTGAGGAAGATTTCCAAGATAATAATGAGACTTACGTGCTTGAAAAGAGAGCAACTGGGCGTTCCTTTCTTGTCTTTTTTAATTGAAAAAAATGTCTCCTGTCATCCAAGAGCCTTGTCCAGTTCTAAGACCAAAGCGTGTAGAGCTCCCAAATATTTAAACCCTTGACCTATACTTTCAATCATGTGCATCATCTCATGAACCAAGGCAAACTCCTAATCAGAATATTTTATTAAACCCAGAGAAAATTCTGTGGTCCCAGTTGGTCCAAGACAGTAAAAATAGTAAGAAATTAGTTAAAGTACTATATTAAATAATACATGACATTACAAAATATTGCTCAGTAGCTCCAATAATACAAATATCTCTAATATATAAAGGTATATGGCGTGCAACGTCTGCAGTGTGTACCTGTGCTTTTAAATGGAATCCTGTTTGCAAATGACCTTAAAATAAGGGGAATGGGTCAGAGGTGTAGATGACACCATCGTGACACCTTGAACTACCTTATCACATGATCTATTGAGGTCACCTGGTGTAAGATGTGAGTCGGGGTTGAAGTGTCTGGGAAGGCATCTAAAGACTGAGAGCGTGTGAGCCACCCCCTCTGTTCAGTGATGGTCATTTACAGTTTTAAATCATCTGTTTTCTCGGTCCAAAATGGGAACTCATTCCTTGAAAGAGGGACCTTTATACTTTAGGTGTAACTGTATAGCGGAGTCTTGTACTGTCGAGGTGGCTTTTAGTAGTGAGAGCTGTTATGATGTACAGTTTGGAGATGGTAGCAAAAAGACAGGAGGCAGAGCTGAAGGTTTGAAGACTTTCACTGGGAGTGACCGAGAAGAACAGGGTTAAAAATTTGAGGACCAGCTCAGGCTGAGTTGGTTTTGACATCTGCGGAGAAGGGATGGTGGACGTATTGGACAGAGGATGTCAGACAGGAGGAAAAGAGGAAGACCAGAGAGAAACTTCATGGATGAGCTGAAGGAGAACATGCAGAGAGCTGGTGTGGTAGAGGAGGTTAGGTTTAGATGAAAGCAGATGTTGCACTGTGGGGGGGGTTTCAGCCGTTCAGCACTTTGGTCAGCAGCTGGCGTTTTTTTAATGTGGTATACAAATAAATTTGACTTGACTTGAATTAAATGCTCACACTATTTACATTTATCGCGTCATTCTTTGTAACTATATTGTTTTCAGTGCATGCCAACCAACCCCATACAATAATTTCATTTGTGTCATTTCTAAATATTAGCTGGTTCCTGTGATTTACATAAGCTTTCATAGACTTCACTATGAGAAAAATGAGCAGGACATTGAAATAAGGCCAAATCTATCATGTATTTATTTATTTTTAGGTCTGTGTTTTTTAAAGTATATTTATTGCCTCCATGAGCTCTGACTCTCACAGTCTGTGGTCTCACATGCAGCTGGCTAGTTTGACTTGTGGGCGTTTAGCTGGATGTTTGATTCTCCTTTATATCATCTTAAGTTTTCTGTCACAGTGTAGTTCAGTTTAGGAAGTAAAACCACTCGGCTGAATCTAGGACGTCTCAGAAACCTGTGTGAGAGATAACCAAAAATTCAAACTTACCCCATGTGCACCGTCTACAGCTGCCAACATCTGTTGCTGTTGAAGGCCAAAGCAAAGCAACTGAATTCTGTTTGTTTTTTAAACACAAGCATCTCTCTCTCTCACCATTTAACTCAGTTTCTTTGGGTCTTGCAATCATCCGATTGGTGAGACGGCCTCGCAGTTTGATCATGTGTTAAAGTATGCACATTCATGCATTGATCATTTTTGTATTCGGAAAAGAAATACAGGTGAATGTATGGGGAAAAAACATATAACGGGCAGTTAATAAGTTCAGTTTTGTTTTGGATGGATAGAATTACAGTAAGTAATATGTGTCACCACTAAGCGGCAGTAGAGCATCACTACCCCTAATGAGGAAGTGAGACTGGAGCCATGATTTGTTTTCGTAATGAGCTGAGGGTTGTTTTTAATTATAGTTTAGTTTTTTTTAAAGAGCATATTGGCTGCAGTATTAATCAGAACAACTTTTATGAAGATTGCACTGCTGTGACGCTAGAACATGCTTCTCATACTGATGTTAAACACTGCAGTGTCAGGGATTAGGCCGATGGTTTGTGGCTGTCTAAAAATAAGTGCCCTTCTCCTGTGTGGCTCTGTCAGGCTGTTGGTTTGAGGGCCTTGTTTTCAGTTGTCATGCACTATTATGCAGACACTGTCATGCAATATCAGAACAATACACCACTTCTTATAGAGTGTGTCTGTATGTTATAACAGTAGATATCATAGCCAGACCTCTGCCACAAAAATAACAAATAACTGAAGAATTATTTTGAAAAAATAAATTGTTTAAAAAAAAAATAGGCGAATTGGTTAATTAATTCAATACTGAGAGCAACATCTGGAGCTACTGGTGTTAGTTTTTTAATGTGAGAAAGCTTGTTTGTCTGTAAAGCACTGTGATGATCCTCTAATTTATGGTTCTAACTACATTAGAAATGAGTACATCGGAAGGACGGCTCAGGTTAAGCGATTTGAAAATAAAGAGGGACGATGTCGAGATGGTTTGGACATGTGCAGAGGAGGCGTAGTGGATATGTATTGGACAAAGGATACTGAAGATGGAGCTGCCGGGCAGGAAGAAAAAGAGGAAGGTGGATGTAGTGAAGGAAGGACACGCAGAGGGTTTGTGTGACAGAAGAAGATGCTATAGACTATAGAGACAGGGTGATATGGAGGCAGATTATCTGCTGTGGCAACCCCTAAAAGAAGCACCGGAAAGGAAAAGAAGATCATAGCCTGCTGTCACTTATAGGGAAAATATACTGATTATACAAGAGTTTTTAAAAATGCAGCTTTGTGTGTCTCTTAACTAATAGGGATTAAATAATTGAAAACACGCACACACACACAGATTGTCTGCAGATGATTTGCAAACATTTCTCTTTAATAGGAAACAATGTAGAAATAACAAGCTGTTCTGATTGTGTTATTTATTTTGGTACATTTGATTATAAGGTTGCGGTCTTTATTTTATAAGCAAAGTAATTTTTTAAAATGTGAATCAGCCCTGAAAATGATTTTATTATCGTATATAACAGAGTGTTTTCTTCATCATTTATTTTACTTTCTCTCTGATTCTTCTGCCTCTACTCTCTCTATTGTCTGCTTAATCCACTTCACATAATTCCCTACCTTGGTATAATAACCCTTGTTCACTATTGCAGTTGAGTCTCGTTGGGGAATCAGACAGCGAGCTCCCCATGACACAACCCCAGTCAGATAGTAAGGCCCACTGCTAGAAGACAACATGGGCAAAACAAAAGGACCTCCACTGTCTCCTTTACAACTGTCCTTCCCGCTGTCTCCAGCACAGAACATGTTATTACTGAAAATCATGGAGTTCCCACGTGAAGTGACAGGTGTTTTCTCACACTCTCTGCGTGAGTAGGCTGAAACATGAGCATATTTTAAAACATCTGATAACTGTTTTTTCTCTGTCACCCCCCAGCCTGACACTGTACCTTGTTCATTTTCCAGCACATCACTGTCTTCTTCTGGCAGACAAATGGGAAGCAGGTTTGGGCCTAATGTGATTCTGGAGGTGAATCTTATAAGAGCAATATCATTGTTAAAATCAGTGCGTGCACTTCCAGTGATCCCCTTTCTGTAGCCAGGATGAATTATGATCCTGTTAGTGATCAAGGAAGGTGCGCTTGGGGCATTTGTTGTCGTTTTATCTATCAGTCCACCAAAGACACTCAAAGGGCTGTTCTCATGCCCATCCACAACATGAGCCGCTGTCACAGCCCACTGATCATTTATCAGGGATGCTCCTCCTCTGCTGGGCTCTTTTATGAATAGCTGCCATGGTATTTCTCCCAGTTTTGCATCCTGACCTCCCAAAATTCTTCCTGTACCTGCTATCAGTGTTTCAGGCTGCCCACACACTGAAACAAATAGAAGTCATCATTAAACCCAGAGCTCCAAACGAATAGTGACATTGAAAAACAGAAGGAATACATCCGTACCTGGAAGACATTTTGGAAACTCTGCATTTCCGTTAGTTGATATCCATTCGCCACTGGCACCGCAAAGGAATGTGTCTGAAAAGAGTCAAGGAGAAATTTGCAAAAGGAATAACAGATCAGTGATACTAGAAAAGGTATGAGCAAAAACGTCCTGTAATCACCATCTCCTTCCAGCGTGTAGTACTTTGAGCTGCAGCTAAACTGGATCTGGTCTTTATATTGAGTTTGTGGGTCATCTGAACCCACCAACTGAAGAATACCATCTTCCGGTATATCAGGAAGTCCACAATTGACCACTATATATGAGAAAAAATGATACTGAGTGTGAAAAAAACAAGTAGACACAAACAGAAAAATCTGAAATTAATTGTAGTCAGACTCACATCCACAGGTGTAGCTGGGAGTCCATACACCTGTGCTATGGCACATTGCATTGAACTCTGATTTCACATCATGGATGCCTTTATCCTTAATAAAATGAGAATGTAATTTAATTTAGAATTCAATTTATTTAATAAATTAAATATTTACATCAAATGTCAAGGATACACTTCAGATTTCTTTCTGCACTCACATCATTTACAACATAGCCCTCTTCACAAGTGACCTTCACTTCCTCACCACGATTATATTCTGCTTTCTTGGGAGTCACGGTGGAGTGTGAGGTCACCACTGCTGGACAGACCTTATCTGCAATTAAGATGTGAGAAGAAGAGTCACAGTCGTTTCCAACAAACATCCAAACAGATGCTCTTTACCAGCTGTGTCTGAGATGAGGAGGCTGCAGTACCTCTGGTCCTGAAGTTGAGGTGGAATCCTTTGTTGGTGCCAAAGTCGTCAGTGGTGAAACGGATTGTGAGCTTGTTTGCGTGAGTGAGAAATGGCGATTCGGGAGGCGTGTTGCCACAGAACGGTCCCAGAGTCCCAGAGGGAGTCTCAATCTGCAAACAAAACAACACAGGCACTGTCACCAAGTTCAAGTTTACAGACTTTCTTTAAGATGCAGACGTGCAGCACCTGTCAAGAATTTGAACACAACTGCTCGATGGATGTGCGAGACTATCCGTTTATAGCATTCTGACATGGACGTTTAAAAAAGGAAAACCCTTGTAAAAAAAAAGAAAAAGAAATCATTAGGCCCACAACAGTGTGTTGTCCTCCCAGCTACAGAGGAAGACCAGCCTTAGAAATCACATATTATAACCCACATCAATGCTTTCCAGACATAAGGTTGCACTTAAAAACTGGATTTATGGTTTGCATCTGCTTATGTGGTTACTGATACAAGTCTAAGGTGTGATAGTCTGTTAACCAGCATGACTACCACAGTATCCTGCAGTGGTTTGTGCTCAGTGGGATGATTATTCATTTCTGAAAAAGACCTAATGACCTAAAACACACCTCCAGGCTCTATGAGGGATCTTTGACCACAAACCTCCACAGCCTCCTGTCCTTATTGTAACTGAGACTACACAGCAGCAGCCAACAAGATCGTCAATTTTAGAAGGCGACAGACTTAAAAAAAAGTCACAACATTTAAGTAACATGTTGCCAGAAAATGCATACAGGAGGCTTTCAGATAAAAATGATTGAAGTCAATTACAGAGAAATCCTGGAGGAAATTCTGACAGTGCATACAGCAGGGCGGTGACGTTGTTAGCACCATTTCCTCTGAATGTGCTTACAGCAGGTTGGTGACGTTGTTAGCACCATTTCCTCAAAGAAAGAGGGGCCTGGGCTTCAAGCCCCAGCAGGGCCCTTCTCTCTCTGGAGTTTGCACATTTTTCCCACCGCTTTGGGGGTTTTCTTCTGGAGCTCTGGTTTCTCTTGGTAGCAGCTGTACTCACCCTCCCTCCCCCTTTTGGTTAGCGCTTGTCTCAGGTATCTCACAAAAGAGATTCTGAATTTCGAATAGTTTCACTTCCTGGTTAAGGGCTAAAAAACTGCTGTTACTTGGTGAACGACATGGGCTCTGAATGTAAGAACTGAGGCCTGATATGACCTTAAAAATATCAGCCTTAAAGTTCCTGTGTAGATGAAAATGACAAAAGACGTGATGTCTAACACTGACAAAGAACTAGCCTAACTTATATTTCTAGCACTGATCCATTTATTATTTTATTATTTGGGAGAAAATTTATTTCAAATGTCATTAGAGACTCTTTTTCTGTGGCTCTGAAACAAGAAACAACAACAGTACAACAACAAAATAATAATTGGGTTATATGTCAAATTGAAACTAAACAAGATGAGATCAATGTACACAGGAATGGTACACAAAGAAAAAACCCAAATGTGTAACACAGAGAAACCATAAAACGTCAAAAAATAGGATGACTGTCTGTTGTCAAATCCATGGTTACAACACTTTTTTTTCTGAACTTCCTCTTTGTTTATTGATATGCAAAGTTAAAGTTTCTGGGGGGAACACACACACAGCTTCGAGGGGTATTTGCATATTCTGAGTCATCACTTACTCTCAGTGCATCTATGCATTGACCATTGGGGCCTTGTTCCACATCAAAAACGTCCGAGAATTCGAGCTCCACCTGAGACTGGGAGTCGACGAGCAGCGTGTACTGGCAGTTTGCGTTCTCTGCATACGAGTTGGGCCAGGAAGGACTGGATATGATACCGTTGCTCTTTCCTGACAGGTCCTTATTGCAGTTCACTGTGAACATGAGAGATCATTGCCATTACCTTCATTTTAACAAAATCATAAGTTTTACACAATCAGTACCTTCCCAAAAATCTCCCCACAATACTTCTGCTTCCTCTATTTTCCCATTTTCACTTCTCTTTGTGTATTTTTGTCTCCTTCAGACATGTTAAATCCTGATTCTGTTGAATGTTTGGAAGCAAATTTGATTATTTGTACCAGTGCAAGTGTGGTTGTCCACATCCAGGTGGTAGCCGTGGCGACAGGAGCAGTGGTACCCTCCGATGAAGTTGTGACAGAACTGGGTGCATTGGTTGATTTCGTTATCCTTGCATTCGTCATAGTCTAACAGAGGGAATGAGCTAACGGTTAAACGCAGAAAAGCATTAAAAAAAAAAACAATTCCTTGGAATGACTTGATAAATATATCAATCATGCTATCTATCGTAACATTTTAACAGAAGTCATAACTCAACAAGTGATCAAACAGCAAATGTTTGTTCATCTCGACAGAGTGACAACAAAAATCCTTGACATTTTGCATCTCTTGCATTAAAAAAAATCAGAGAAAACCACAGTTTCGCATCAGTTCTCCTGGTTTGTATTCTAGGTAACATGTGTGGCAAAAGTCTTCAGTAGAGGAACAAGAGTCTACTGATACTAGACGAGGTTTAGGTGAAACATCAGTCACGTTAGTGTCGTCAGCACTTTTTTTTTGCAGTGCAAGAAGACAAACTCTTGCACACAAATGTTTTTTAATCTTATGTTTTCTTTATTAAACAAAAAGCTTTTTACACTGTGATTTATTCTCTAAAAATGACTTCCTTGAAATATGATTACAAAAGTATAAGTATATTTCCACAAGCTGAGCTCCTTCTGCAGATTTCTACTCTGATTCTCACCTTGGGTTGTATAAAAGCCTCTAAAGCCGGTGTGCCTCTTTATGTTTGAGTAGTCCGAGTGGAACGAAAGGGCGAGGCAGCCACCCGGGGGCGAGAAAAGCGCAGGATTTACAGTGGACTGAAGCTCCTCAAATTCCTTTGTGCCACACAAAACGGAAATTAAGTTTCCATTTGAAAAGATCTGAGGGGGAAAAAAGATGAGAGGCATAATGAGAAAATAGTATGTGGCAGGTATTAACATCATTTAAGATATCCTCTTACCTTCACTGCATCATTTTCACAGTCGATACTGTCCTCCAGGTCCAGGTGGATGAACCTTATGGAGAGGCTGTGACCTTTGGGGGCGCACCTGCTCCAATTTAGACTAGCATGAGGTAAGTACCCATTGGGATAACCTGGAGACTCCACCCATCCCAGCAGCATGCAGTACGTGGAGTGGAAGAGCGGGAGAAGCAGGAGACTGAAGAAAATGGTGCAAAGCAAAAATAAATATAAGGGTAAAGAATATTTTTTTTAAAAAGTAGCGTTAAACAGAAACAGAAATTAAGTAGTTGGATGTCAGAGACAGACACTCTGTAATCACTCTTTGCACATCTATTGTGATAATTAAACAAATCCAAACCCACCTTGATCTTAACATCTTGTCCTGATCAAATCTCTTCTCAAATAAAGCATTTGAACATGTCTCCTTCCTCTTTTCATATTAATTTCTATTTCACCCTCTTCCTGCTGCCCCCTTCCTCTCTTGCTTATGTTTTGCACCCGTAAGCATTTATAAATCTATTTCTAGATAGTTTCTTTATGCATCTACGGCAACAGGAGGGTGACTGTGGAGCAACAGGAAGACAAACCGAGCCAAAAGCTTTTCAGCAGCTTTGCACTTTTCAACTCAACACCGATCCTTTGTCAGCGGGACAAATATTGTATTGAAACAATGGTGACAGGATAAAAGGAAAGGGTGTAGTGGATGAAGGAAATATTCCTTTGTGCACTTCGAGTGCCAAAATCAGCATTTAGTCCTGTAGCTACAGTACGGAAACACATTTACAGTTAACATGAGAAGGCTAGTACAGGAAGGAAATGAGGAACGACAGAGCTACAGAGAGGCGAAGGGGGAGAAACAGCAGATGAGGGTCACTGGGGCTTTCCACTGTGTAGGACTAGAAAAGACATTAGAAGTAGGTAAGACCGAGTGAGGAGGGGGAACAAATCAGAGACAGTACGTCAGAAATAGAGTGGAGGCAGATGAACCTGAGCAGCAACTGCTTGATCATCAGAAAAGCCAAGGCGATCCACAGAGTTCACTTCTGGATTTTATCTTCTGAGCTACCATACCGATTTAGCCAATTTTCAGGTATAGAAACAGCTTGAAAAGACGCAGGCTTTTACAGTTTAGAGAGTTTACACGCAGGTGGAGGGCTGTTGACGAATAGGATACAAAATGTGCAAAGAAGATCAGTTCGAGTATGGTGACAGATGCTGTCAACGCTGTAATGCAGGTCAGTGAATACGACAATGCTTCAGTTCCTCACGTTTCTCCTCGGTTAACAAACTTTCTTTACAGGCTGCACAGCAATTTTCAAAAAACGTATTTTCATTAACCAACATCTAATATACAAGTCTGTTTGTTTCACCTTGTCAGGAGAGTACATGAAGACAGCATGCGATGACACAAAAGAGACCGAGTGTGCCACATGTCAATATGGGTTCTACACAGACTCTCAAAATCATGTGGACAAATGCCATCGCTGCAAGCAATGCCTTCTCAGTAAGTTACACAGGCATACACGCAGCATTAGTCTTAGAAGCTCAGTCAAAGAAACACAGAACCACAATTCAGTCTATTTCTAATAGAAATACGACGATATAGAACTAGAAAGACCGTATTTGAACTCTACTATGCAAAATACAAAAAAGCTAGCAGTGCTGCTTTCACAGCAAAAGAAAGAAAGAAATATACTGTTGGACAGCAGGAAACTGCGCAATAATGATGTTGCAGATTGTGAAAGCTGATGGCTTTTGATATCTATACTTATGGAGTAATAATACCTGCTTTGCTGTTGTTTGTCCAAGTCAGCACCACATGCTCACAGATCCACTTCTTTAACATCTTCTTTATTTCTCACAAGGGGTCGTTTGACTGTTGAAGTTTCTTTGTATTTTTGTGTTTTTGCAGCGTCCAAAAGTGTTTTGTGGCAACTGTTGTTGTCATTTGGCGCTATTAAAGTTCAAGGGAAAATTGAATTAAACTAAATTTCCATTTTGAACTAATTGTAAATCCCACAGAGCTTAGCTCAGATTTATGTTAAGATAATTGTGTTAAGAGACGATTTTGAGACAATAAAGGAACTTACATTTTCAAGTTCAAGACTTTCAAAATGTTTCATAGCGCAGAAACTGTGAGGTGGGTTTTTACTGTTCTTTATGTTCAAGCCACTTTGACACTTTGAACTGGCGATCAACGACCCCCATCTATACACACACACACACACACACACACACACACACACACACACACACACACACACACACACACACACACACTTAAACGCAGAGAAAATAACGTCTCTCCCTTGCTCTTTCAGGTATCAAACAGCAGACACTCAATGAATGCAAAGCTGAAGCAAACACAGTGTGCAAGTGTGTGTCAGGTTTCTACTGCAACGATGCTGAATGTGAACACTGCTTGCCTGTAACCCGCTGCCAAGTGGGTGAAGGGGTCAAGACTCCAGGTAACCTTGAACTATAAAAATCATAATGGATGATAATTTTCTCCAGTGATGTTTCACATTCTTAGCTAAAGTGCCACAAAGTCAGGTGAATAAATTTCACTCCTCATTATAGGCGACGGCACGAGTAACGTAATCTGTGCTCCATGTGGAAAGGGGACCTTCAGCAACGTAACAGATTATGTGTCACCCTGTAAACCTCACACCAGGCAAGACTGCATTACAACTATTATCATTGTTATTATTATTATGTTATTATTAAATCTGAAGAACTGTGTGTTTTATGTAGACTGTGAGTGAATTAGTCATCCATTGACACAGAGCAGAAATTAGTCTCTTGGTTTCGGTTGGTGCCCTCAGTCTACAAACTCGAAACGTACAACATCCCACATCCTACCTACTGTAAATATTTCATCCAGACTGTAAAAATTGTGCTGAAACAGTTTCTCATGCTTGTAGGAGGCCTTTTTCTTTACATCCCTTTAACACCGATTTTGTAGCAAAAGCTTGTCCAGTTTTTTTTTTTAAAAACAACAACTATAAATTGCGACTTTTATTATTTTATTATTATTCATATTTATTGTGTTCACCTGTTGTTGGTGGTATTTTTTTTTAGATGTGAGGACTACGGAGGAGTGCTGAAAATTCCAGGAGATAGTGAAAGAGATGCAGTTTGTGGAAACTTCAAATCTGGTAAGTTTCTGGCTTTATCAGTGTTTGAGATCTTGTTAAAAAAAAGAGAGAGATGGAGTTGTCAGCGGATGCTCTTATGCCGAGTGATTCACTGAGTTCCTGTTGACATTATCTTCCTGTAACAGGACCTATAATTAAGAAAGGAAGTTGAAGATGTATTGATGCAAAATTACTAATATATACATTTTTCATGTAAAATTAAAGTAGTAGCTATAGTTTAGCCCACTGGACCTCAATATTGCTCTAGTTCACGCTCACTACATCTATAGCTTGCCTTAAAAACCAAACATCATATCTAGTCAGAGGCTGTGAGCGGCAAATAACACTAAATTAATGTGCCACTCAAACAGCCTCACAGTCAGCCAGCGTAAAATTCCAACAACTAAATGCGAGACAAAGAGTATTTGTGTGGTCCATTTAACTAATCTGAAATTTATATCCTCAAGCTTAAAAAAGAAAAGTCAGAAGGTGAGTGGTACACTCACAAACTTCTCCAGTCAGTTTGTTGAAGCAAGATGTTGTTCTTGAGCAAGATATTGAAGCGTCAGTTCGGTCTTTGTACCATGAGTTGGTGTAGTTCTCTGAAGAAACATGGGTTTAGGGCAGATACTTTCAAGGCACTGACAAGAAGAGAGTAGTATTTGTTAGGTAGCAGAGTGCTGTGGTGTATGGCCACATCAGTAACCCTGTAAGGCTGTATTTAGGTATTAATTTTTGACCTGTTAACACCCTGATGTTAAGAACGTATATTGCTTAACTAGCTCACCACCTTAGATTTTAATTTTAGAAGGTTAAGAGGTGCTTAACTTTCTTTCAGAAACATCTAAACCACAAACTGAGCCTAGCATTACTTCAGGAAGGCTACTAAGCTGAGCTCAGCCCACAGTCCCAGTAGATCAGCTGATAACGGCTGATCTTAATATCAGCACATGTCAGCTGACACTCTTCTGTGCTTCAAACTGACAAATCTTATGTAGGGTGTCCTATTTAGACTGCTTTAGCCTGTTTATAGCTGCAGTGTGAGCTATTTTGCAACCCCAGCTCCCTCTTTTCACACTACGTCTGACTCAATTCATGTGATGTTTGTCGTAATCGACGTTAGTTTTGTTCTGTGAGGGGGTCCTGCTGCTGCTCTTTTCACCGTAGGCTTTCCCCATCTGAGCATGGAAATGCAGAGAAGTCCCAAAGCAGAGCCACACCACCAAATATAAGTAATGGCATATGGAAATAGTCATTTTTCTTTTGGCTAAAGTTTTTTGGATTAAAAATCAGTTTGATGGTGGTGTCAGCAGAAAACTTTAAAAACCATCAAAGTTTTTAAAATACCTCGTGTGAACATCTACATTACCGCGAAAAATGATTTTGCATACGACCCCGCCGAGCCTTATTTTTCAGTGGTATTTCTTTTTAATGAAACCAAAGGAAGACATTCTTTTGCTTCAGTACTAAAAACAAATTCACCTATCAAAGTCACTTCTGGGAAAGCATGAAGCCACATGCATTGTTTAACAGGAAGTGTTTTTGTGAGGCGCATTGAATTTTGAGCAGCTAAAAAAAAAAGAGGGGGCAGAAGAAGCACACAGACAAAGAATACAGACATACTGAAATGTCTAAATATACTCCAGACAATGAATCAAGTCCAAATATCGCATGAGATGACTTCTTTTAACTACTGTGATATTTGCTGGGGTGATACTGAGAGGGGGGTGGGGATGGTGAAGATGGTGAAGATTTCCAGTGTTTATCACATTTTAAATATAGTCATTTTATGCAAGCTTTAAAGCCTACTTTCAGGTTTCATAAAATGCATATTTTGCCCCTTAAATACTTATTTCCATTAAATTGAGTCAAATCAGTAGTGAAACTCACACATAAGTCTAATGTTAAAGTCTAAATTTAACCTAAAACGGTTTAAATTAGAGTCCGATTTACCTTTTTCATCTTCTTAGGTAGAAAAAACAGCATAAATTATTATTTAATCCAATATATTTTAAAGTATAATAGTGTATATCACTGTATAATGCATTGCTGCATTACCATAAAGCTCCTACAGGCTGAGGAGGGCTTCCCAAGTGTTTCTTCTTCACTCCCCTCTTTTTACTCTCAGTGTTTATACACCACTTTGTGTTTAATGATTCGTTTTCATTCATCTCTGGCTCTCTTCCAAGTGTGTCTTTTGTCCTGTTTCTGCCTGCCGTGGCAGATGGCTGCCCTGAGCCAGGTTTCCTCCTGTTAAAAGGGAGTTTTTCCTTCCCGCTGTCACTAATTGCTTGCTCATGGATGGGGAAGTCATCTGATTGTTCTATTACCTTATTTGGCACTATGCATATAAAATTGAACTGAATTGAATGATGAAGCGGCTTAACCTGCTGTACAGTCAGTAAGTGAATGCTTGAAAATATATTGAACTGACGTCTTTTGCCTTGGCTCCCTCCCTTAAATAAAACAGATTTAAATTGAATACATATAATTTATATCTTTCAAAATATTATTTTAAACATGTATTCAACATATAATCAGCAATGTGATTAACAAATATGCGAGTCATATTTATACAGCACATTTAGACCTTATGATATTTTGTTGTAGATATCATTGCTTTATGAACACAGTACGTAAAGCTGTATGTTACAAATGATTGGACTGTTCTGGAGTGGATTGCGGCCATTTATTAAGAATTAATGCTGCTTAGACATGTTGGCACTTCACCAGAAAGAGTTTTCTTTAAGTGAGCTTCCACGGATCATGAGTCACCACCTGCAAATTCAAAAAGAAATGCATATAATCTTTCACTAACAATAATCAGTCTTTTTATTTCTTTGATAAAGTCAGAAAAAAATCAAGTTTCTCCTCGTCACAGTCATTTCACTCACTACCTTATTAATGAAGAAACATGAGTTGTAATCAGTAATCACTCCCTCCCACTTTAAGTTTCCCAGAAGTTATATTACGCTTGTGAAAATTTATTGTGCAATCAGGTGAATAACCCACTGTAGATGTACTCGGCATGGCCCTAAGAACATTTTCTTCTCGTTGTTTTCCAGATTGTTATTGGATGTTGCCAGCAGGTTTGTGGTCAGGGCTCGTGTTGACCGCAATCGTCATCGTGTTGATTTTCATCCTCTGGAGAAAGAAATGCAAAACGTACAATGCAGGTGTGTACGACACGTCACTCGGATGGGCATGTTTGCCACTTTTTCTCACACTTGTTCTCATAATTGTCTTCCTGAAGAGGCGGCAAAATGATGTGCGTGTAAGCCCACCCACTGGCAGTAACTACTCATGCTTTAAGCCACAACAGTGAGAGGGTACTGGCTTTGAAGTCTTACAGTTGAAGGTCACTGCTTATCTCTCTCAAACATGGCCTCCCACTGTTTCCTTGCAGTGTATTAATAACAAAACCTCAGGGAAACCTAATATTACATTTGCAGACTGGATTTTTTGAATATTAAAATGTGATCTTTCATGTAAAGTAAGTTGAATTTCTCCTTTTCTTTTCGCTTGAAAAGGATATGATGTAGTTGAACTCTCTGACAGATTAAGAAAGCAGCAGCCGAGTCTGATGCTCGAGGAGCTTTAGCGAACATGACTGTCTCAATGAGGAAACCACATCCTGTACATATTCAGGCTGACACAGTTATTTGGTGTAATGTGACGCACTCTTCACGGGCAGACAGCTCATACTGAGAAACAATTCCTACGTATGTGACACAGTCACACAGCTTATTATTTTGGCTACCCTTCTATTTCACTGACATTTCTTTTATTTCCACAGAAACAATGTGCTAGTACTGGAAATCACTGATGAACTCACAGAATATAATTATTGTCTTAGAGAGCGTGTGTGCCGTTTTGCTAATATTACAGGAAGGGGTGTGTGTTACTTTTAAAAGCACCAGTTGTTACTCTTTGTACAGTCATGTGGGAAAAGTTTAAGAGTGATTCTGAGCCAATAAGATCCTTTGATTTCATGACATAATGCCTGTATTTTCCACATATCTGCACGTGGATATATCAAAGGCTTATTACTAGAGAAATTACCAAAATGCAAGTTTCCTTTTTCATAGCCTCATAATATCCTGCCATGCAAACAGTTTCAGTTTTATCTTCTGAGGTTTGGAGATACTTATCTTTAGGATTTTTACTGCCAGCTCAGTACAGTAGATGGTATAAATATACTGTATATGTTGGTTTGTGCAGCTCAAAGTTTTGTTTTCTAGTAATAATTTATTGCTATGTTTTTTTCAGTATGTGATATAAATTGGAAGTTTCTCTTTGCTCAGAAAGTTTTTTTCTTAATGCCACTTGTTTGAGTCTCGTTTTAGAAACACTTCAGAGTAATTATAGTTTTGAATTTATTTTAATTCTGTGGGTTTTTATTTAATCAGTCGTTTCCTGAGTCTCGTTACACACTGGTTATTTTTATTGGCGTGTATGTTGTTTAAAACTGTTTAGTTTTAGTATTAGTTTTCCTTTCTTTCGTTGTGAAATGGTCAGTATTAGTCAGGGGCTAGTTTACAGCAGTTATTGCAACATGCGCAATTATCTCACAGTCATGTAGAAACCCCGGTCTCAGTAAACAAGCGTAATTAACACGCCTTCTCGAGCTAGTTGTGTTGACAAACTGAACAAAGCTGACAAAGACTAAAAGTGGATTAAAAAAAAAAAATCAGTAATGGTAAATGGCCTTTGTATATTTGTATAGCGCTTTACACACCCAGTCATCCACCCATTCACACACTGGTGGAGGCAGCTACAGTTGTAGCCACAGCTGCCCTGGGGCAGACTGACAGAAGCGAGGGTTAGGGTTATCGCGCCATCGGCCCTTCTGGCCAACACCAGTAGGCGGTAGGTAAAGTGTCTTGCCCAAGGACACAACGACCGAGACTGTCCGAGCCGCCTTGTAACCTTCCGATTACAAGGCGAACTCCCAACTCTTGAGCCACGATCGCCCTAGTAACCTGCTTATGGCTAATGTTCTGTTTAGTCTCGGGAACTCTAACAGCCTTGGTTTGCTTGTCTGTATCTCAGAGCTGTTCTCAGAGCTGTTCGGAGCTGACTCAGAACAAAGTTCACACAGATGGTCAAAAGACAGTGAAGGGACTCAATGTCTCGACTCTAATGACCAGTGGCTGGTGTTTTTTTTTTACATGGAGGTGCTTTGGTCAAACTCAACCCCTTGGATTTTGGGGGTTTTGGGGAGGCTTTAGTGCCATCTAAAGTCCAACTGGTGGAATTATTTGTATGTTTTGTGCATGTTTGTGAGCATAAAGCTAAAATGCCTTTTTTTTCCCTTGTGATTTGTGATGTCTGTGTGACAGCTCGATCCAGTATTTGTGTTACTCCAGTAGCAGTGGTTCCCATTCCAGATGTAATGCCTCGAGAGCAGCCTTCTTACTGCCAAGAAACCTGCATCATGCCCGACTGCAAGTTACCAATTTTTAACGAAGGTGAAGAATCACATCGACTCTTTTACATCATTTACACATAATGTTACCGACTTGTTCTCAAACAGCAGGATTTAAGTTTGAAACAAAGTCACTGCGTGCAACAAAAGTGCCCCAAGACTTTTGTGTTGGTGCAGCAGTCCACTTGTTTAGGCTCGAAAATCATTTTCTGTAAAACATTTTCACCCGTATTTAGTGCCATTATAAAACCTTGCTCACATGCTTGGCTTGTTGAAACATTATTGTTATTAATTTCACTATAATGATTGTTTTTCAACACTGTATCTACTCTAAGCACAGCCCCATAATGCCTAGAACAACTCAGTTATCTCTCCACACACACTTAGTGTTTGACATTGGAATTAGTGATTGCAGAAATACAAGAACAATGTATGTAAATAATAAATCTCCAATGATCTCAGCTTAATTCAACACCTAGGTGAGACTGTGGCAGCCTTGGTTGATAATCAAAACAGCATTTCCCCCTAAAATCGTCAAAACACGGCCTTAATTCATGTAGGACGAGCCTGCTTCATCTATGCTGGGGATGTGAAACTCTTTTTATATCGCAGGCCACGACTTTGATCTTATGTGGGCCAGATGGGTGAAACTACAATTTCTGTCAGTGTGAAAAGTTGAACTACACATTTAATCAATGAGATAACTTAAAATAGGACAAAGAACCACAATTTCAACAGTATGACTCATTTTTCCTACATGGTAAAGAAGTGCTGCTCTGGTGTCACCGTGAGTTTTTGAGCTTGGATCGTGAGAACGCGCATAAAATTACACAACTCTAGAAATCAATGATCTTGGTGTATTGTGAACAGTGTTGGTCAAGTTACTTCAAAAAAAGTAATCAGTAACGAATTACTGATTACTTCCCCCAAAAAGTAATCCCGTTACTACTTAGTTACTTAGTTACTTTTTTAAAACGCGATTTACAACCTGAAGAGGTGATAAAGCGATAGATCTTTCAGCCCAATTCTACTTTTTCTACATAATCCATCATACAAAATGTAATCAAATGGAAAAGTCTCTTTTTTTAACTTGTTTTATCAGTTTTAATCTTTTAACTTTATGCATCAAGTAAAAATTTAATTATATGCAACATTCTCTGAGTTGAATAAATTAGTTTAACATTTAAACCTATTTTCTACACATTCCAGCACATAAAATAAAATATTTTTTGTGTTTTCACTCACTCTTTCAAATAGATGCAAGTAAAACACAGCAGAACATAAATAAAGTCAAAGACTCAGCGGTCCTGTGCTCTATTTTTACCTGTAAAGCAGGACTGGGGTAGGCGGAGGTTTACCCTGGTGCAGGTGTGCCGCGGTCAATTGAAGAATCCGCGAGTTTCTCTGTGAGTTTCCCATTACGTCGTAGTGCACTCGGTGCTTGCTTGGAAGTTTAGGGGTTTTTTTCGCTGTAAAAAGAAGTTTTCTTCCCACGCACGATGGACACTAATGTTTTTGTCACTTTTTATGGAATCAAACTCAAAGTAAGGTCAGTACTTCCACGCTTTAAATGCTGCATGCTCATACTCTCTCCCACAATCGATATGTGATCCATTGTTGATCTGCACACAGCTGTTGTCACTAATGCTGCACTCGCGTCCGTCATCTTCGTGAGACATTCTCGCAAAAAATCACGGTTTTAGTAACGCAGTAACGCAGCGTTCCTACGGGAAAGTAACGGTAATCTAATTACCGTTTTTGCAATAGTAATCCCTTACTTTACTCGTTACTTGAAAAAAGTAATCAGATTACAATAACGCGTTACAAGTAACAATCAAAGATGGGCAGTAACGCGTTACTTGTAACGCGTTACTGCCCATCTCTGATTGTGAATGGCGATGAGGGAGGGTTTTATGGGTAGAAATGGTCTAAAAGCTTCCAAAGCCATCCAGTGGGCCAGATTGGGGTCTTTCCTAGGTCAATTCTGGACCTGGGGCCTTATGTTTGACACTCTTGATCTATGTGACACAACACTAAAGCTGGATGCTATATGTTGGTCATTTCTGCAGTTTCTCAGGAACTCATTTACATTCATCTTACAAACATTGCAGCTCATAAAGTGCAAAACTGCATTTCCAGTGAGGAATGGTCATACTTAATGATTTTATCGTTCTCCTCAGATGATCCTTTGGTCATTTCCTGCACAGAGGACACCTTGAACACCAGCCACCCCATAACTCCACTGAAAGCTTCCGTTTCCTTTGTCGAATCCAGTAACACGAATGGAAACGCGAGTTACTGCAACAACTTCTTCAGGTCGCAATCCGAGCCACAGGAGGACGAGTACTGTGGGACATAATCCAGTGTAACGGCATACTTACCCAACCTCAGACCCTCACTGGATCGGAGGCAATGCAGTTCTTTTCAAGACCTTTAAACCCTTTTAATACCAAAAGAGAGAGACTGGGCTCTCTTTCAGGTCCCTTGAAGGTTGACTGATGCCACCTGCAGGACACTCATGAGAATTTCCTCTCAAATGAAGTGACATTTCTGTGCTGTCCTGACCACACAGCTGAAAAAACACTGGTGATGCACAGTGGTGTCCTGTTCTCAGGAATAATCTGATATGTTTTGTTTTTGTTTAGTTTTGTTACAACAATTCTCACGAAATGACCAAAAAAAATTAAGCGGTGATAGTAACAAACAGAGCCTAATATAGTTTACATTTTAAGTGAGCCAAAGTGACGCAGTGCGTGATATCATCCTTCATCATCCCACATCCTGCTGCTGCTATGAGTATTTTTGAGCAGCAGGAATAAATCCTACAAAAATAGCATCATTTCCACCCATTTCAAAAACATTTTTAGGTATCCCGATGACCAAAGGCTTTTTCTTTGCTTTTAAAAGATTTGCTTTCTTTATAGGAACAAATCGTTTTATTGCTGATAAGATAGTGAAATCAGAAAATACATGAATCTTTGTAGCTTTTCCTTGGATTTGTTGATAGTGGGAAATCTACTGCTATCCTGACCGTTTAATGGAATCTGTATATATTGAGTTGTTTAACTTATATTGTTCCCACTTAAGTCAGTAATTCAGATTTGAATGTATTGTATATGTAAATCATTATAATGCGCATGAACACACTGATTCAAGTTTTCCTTTCTGCCATGCAGCACACATCAGTAAATAGTCAGCTTCACATAGACTTTGAACCAGGGAACAGGAGGTTAAAGGCTAATGTCTGAGCTGACTCTGTCAGACTGTTTTGTTGTTTTGTTGTCGTTTTTGCATTTTTTTTACTTTGGTACTTTCTGTAAAAGTTCAGGGCTGCAGTTCATGAGTGAAAATGACTTTAGATATGAAGCAGCAACACGCACACACACACACACACACACACATTTTGTATAATTTAAAACACGGAATAGAAACACGACAGATGCATGAATTATGACTTCTTTATAACATTGTGCAATATGGGGAAGGATGCAGTCATTCTGCTAAACTGCTCTCTTCTCTTTGTTAAACCCATCAGACATATTCAGTTCATATTCTGTTTTCAATATTCAGTACTGCTGATTATAATAAAAATGCTATAAACGTGACTCTTGTACCGGCTACTTTGTTTTAATAGGATTATTCGCTGTAAAACATTTCCTGTGACTTCAGTTTGCCTTCTTGAAGACTTGCTTGGCTTTGATTCCTTGGACTCTCATCTCCTGCAGAGAGGAAGTGGAAAAGACGAGAAAAAAAAAAAAAAAAAAAAAAAAAAACACGAAGTGAGAGGGTGTAAATGAATGGTGAGAAACAACGAGAACATTTGGCACATTAAAGACGAGCACAAAACTGGGATTGTGTCCAGGACACCATTTCCACCCCACCTCTCTCCTTCTCATCCTTTGACCTCGTAATCCGTCTTCTACTCTCTCACCATCTATTCATCAGGTCTTTTCAGCCCGCTCTCTACTTTCCTCCTCCGCCTCTATATTAGTCCCTCACTGTTCCCTTCCCCTGCTTTGTGTAATCTCTAAAACCCACCATTATAAGTCTTGATCCTAGCTGGCATTTCTTTCCCAATTCTCTCTTGAGTTTAGCATCAACAACATATTGTTTTCTCCCGATTGCAACAAAGGTATTAAAAAAAACCTCGTGAGAGCTTTTTAGCGGAACAATGTAGATCGTTTGAAAACGTAACCAGTAATGAAAGATAAGCTATGAGCTTGAACTGTTTGAGCTCAAAAGTGCCTCTGAGCTTCACTCCATAAAGACGTGCATTCAGGGCTCCTCTGCCTCCTTTGTCAGGTCGTAGTTTGGCCTTAGGCATGTACAAACTCCACTGACCTCTTAATAAAAACCTCGTCACACAAAGACGGTAACAGAAATGAATAACTTCTAAAACCTGCCTTATTTGAATACCCTCCCTCATTTAGCATATCAATTTCTCCATCACTTCCCTTTAAGCTTTCATTTTCCTTCTTCCCTCTTCCTTGCTTTCTCTCTGCACTGGCCTCTTCTTCCCCTCGTACATCCTTACCAAATGCAGCTTGTCGCCCTCCAGCCAGTGCGTCCAGCCTCGTCCCTCTTTCTCGCCTCGCTGTACACAAACCAGCTTGTCGCCGTCCCAATCTACTGTAGTCTGTGTAACCACAGAGATGCCGTTAGTGTGAGACATTAGCATGTACAGTAGCTCACACAACGCTTAGCCACACAGAGACAAGAAGCTTTGTGCAGCGCAAAGAGGGGAGACTAATACAGTGATCCGTGAAAGGTCATGAACCCTTTAAAATATACTTCATTTGTTCAAACATGTGACAAAAAACATCTGATTTTTATACAAGTGGATTTAAGTTTAAGATTTATATGTATTAGATTATTTAAGTCTGACTCTGGTTTGTTTGCTGAGAAAAATGATCTCTGAGTGGAAAAAATTTATGAACCTTTGCATTTTTTTGTATCATGTAGACAGCAATGACTACAAAAAATACATTTTACATTTTACATCTTCATTCTTCTTTGCCTCACTTTGATGGGGGAACTTGTGAGTTTGAGGCCATTATCTTGTTGTATAACCCACATTCTCGTGGGATTTAGTCCACGGACAGGCATCCTGTCACCTCCCTGAGAGTTTGCTGGTATCATTCAGAATTCATTGCTTCATTAATGAGAAAAAGACAACTAAGAACAGCAAAACAAGCCACCATCAACATTTCCTTCATTTAAACTGGTTTCTCATTTTATACCAAAAAGCTCTGCTTCAATATCATCTTTACCTGAATTATAGTTCAGTGTCCTGGTTTTTCAATTAGATCTTTTGCAAGCTGCAAATGGAGATCAGCAGCTTTCTTCTGGTAGCCCTACTCCACACCCCATTGCTGTTTAAAGTTCTGCTGATGTTAGACTCAGTAAGCTGAAGATTGTCACTGTTAGAGAGGCCTTTAAGTTTTTGGATGTTGCTCCTGGAGTGATATTTGTTGGTTGACTACACCTGGGGAGGGCAACAACAACCTATGATTTCCATCATTTGTCTGACTGTGTTTTGGTGTAGACCAAACTCTTTAGGGGTGGTTTTAGCCTTCACAGCCTGATGAGCATCAGCAAATCCTTTTCTGAGGAGCCGCATCTATTCGGGCTGTGATGCACGTTCGTGTTTTGAACATCTGACCTTCGATTCCCGTCCCACTCACACCTGAACATCATGCAAAGCAATGAAACCTAACCCAGTTTCACCTTGGCAAGTGAAAATACATTACATATTTTTCCACAGCAGATCTGCTTTAAATGCTTATGTGACAAACATATTTATTTAGAAAAAAGTTCAAACTTTCAAGCACAAGGTCTCCTCCTATCTTGGACCTTTTCAAAATCATTGTGGAGTTAATGTACGTTACTGCAATTCTTAAGCCCTCCTCTAAGCAGCAAGTAGCAGCTATGGAAAAAAAAACCTCAGCAGGTGTGTTGACTTTGTTTGAACACTAAGCATGCAAATCAAACTTGTATAACAAGTAATGACTTAATAAAATCAATGTAATGTTAAAACTGCGTGCATGTACAAACATGCCGATGTGCACATTTGGAAAAACCAAAACACGTACCTGACACACACGGCCATCCACTGGCCCAAGGTCCTCAGTAAATTCTTTTCCAATAGTGAAATCCATGTTGAAGTTCTTGAAGGTGGTGAGTGTGCGGATTTTCATGGTTCCTGTGGCCGGGTCATGGGTGACCTCTTTAGTGGGCTTCAACAGACAGACGATCTTCCTCAGAGCAAAATTTACATCTAAGAGAAGAAAGAGAGAGAGAGATGTTGTAGCATGAGCCACAGTCTGTTACTTCAGTAAAGCAGGTTTTTTTTGTCTCTCACACACACTGCAGGCAGAGGGGACGCACAGTGTGAGGTAGTGAATGGATCCGGGGTCACACAGAGGACAAGGTGGTGATTTCATTACACTAATGTGCTTCAGCAAATAAAGATGGTCCTCACCATTAAATCAGACACTTAAGGTTACCTTTTAAAGTAACCTAATGGCAACGAGTCAGTGAACATATGAATACTTAAAAAAATAAAAGACATGAAAGATTATTGTTACATTGGAGGGTTTTAACTGCACATCTGTTACAAAAAGCAACGCACTTGAAGATTACAAAAGTATTTAAAATACTGTATAAAGATTTGTACCCAAAGCTCCGAGGTAGGAATCCATATTCTCCTGTTCCACCATATGATAAGTGCCGCTGTAATTAGGTTTTGCCATTTTTTTCTTCTTCTTTGTTGTTTCCGAAACTCCAGAAATCCCCGTTTTTCCTCGTTCTTGCTTTTCCTCCAGTCCCGTGTGGATCTCACAGACAAGCTGCCGGTTCCTGTGATATCACTTTCAGTTGCGCAACGTTTTGGACAATGGACCCGGATTTGACGGGAATGCGCGTGGAATGAGTGCTGCCTGTTGCAGATTGTTGCTGGAGTTTGGTGCTCGGTTATGCTGCAAGCTGCTCCAAATATGCAACTCTGGTGGTGACTCACGCTCAGTATATGCAATCGTTTCCAGGGAGGGAGCGGGGCCTTTTCTGCAGGACCTCATGCAGGGGGAGGTTCATTCATCTTTACTAATGCTTTTCTCAGAGGGATCAGTTGCAAGAAGAGGCGGCGCTTCGGATCCCAGACATGCAGAGGGTTGGTTGATGCACTAAGTAAACGGGTATGCTCGTGCACTAGCAGCTGAGCAGCACAAAGTCAAAGCGAGGAACAAAGAGACATCAAGGATAACCTGATATGCTCATTTCCAGCGCCATCTTTTATTCTTTGACCATACTAAACAAGTTTTGCATGTTCCAAATCGTCCTTATTTACTTTGATGTACAGACCTCATTTAATCATTCCTCTCAAAAAGGCTGTTTTCTCCGTTTAAGCCAGCTTTCCTCTGATCGGTTGGTTTTAATGAAAGTCCTCTTCAGTACACATGGCTAACTCTGACCCTATTTATACAAAAGAAAACTCACAGAGGTTTTTCATGTTTTACTGATTGATGCTTTTGTAGGTGTTTCCTTGTTGGTAGCCTCCCAACTGGTACTGATGAAGTTTAGTATATATAGTATAGCAAGTTTTGTTACGCCAACAGGTGAGAGGCAGGAAAACAAGTTCATAGTTAACCAATGAAACATTTTAAAGGGCCAGATTGTGTCTCTTACCTGTGTGCCGCCTTCTGCTTTCTCCCAAGGGTGTTCCATCCAAAAAAAGTGCAGATCAATCCAAATACCTATAGTATCAGTGCCAACAGTGGATTGAACTAGTTCATATACTTGAAACATGCGCTATAAAATGTCTGAATGTTTTTGTGTCTATTTTATTTACAGCCTATAGCAGCGGTCCCCAACCCCCGGGCCTCGGACCGGTACCGGGCCGCGAGGGTAGAGGCTCAGGTGTGAAATGTATGGTTTTCAGGGTTTTTATCGGTTTTCAGCGTTATTTTGTTATCGTTTTTATTGTTAACTCGGTTTTCCTCGGTCTTTTCACGTGTGTTATGAATAAATCTTATTTTTTTCGATACTGGTACTAGTTTTATTTTGTTGTATTTATCCGTGACACCTTAAAGGCCGGTCCGTGAAAATATTGTCGGGCATAAACCGGTCCGTGGCGCAAAAAAGGTTGGGGACCGCTGGCCTATAGCACATTTAAACAACTGAAGTTGACCCAGATCACTTTTAAATTCCAGGTCAAACTCAAAATACTTGAAAAGCTGAAAGGTGTGTTTTGTTTTATTAAGTCATTATTGATTCTGATTCAGTGGTTGCTACAGTTTGTTCAGAATCTACCTCATAACAGTGATTTATCTTATATGTCATGACACACTACTCTCCTCTACAACTGCCTTTATAAGTTAAAAGTATCAGTGCTGGTATCGCCAATGCTGGGCCTGTATTTACTTGGTATCAGATCAATACCAAAGTTAGCTACATAATCAGTATCAATTTGAGATTTAAAGGAGGTCTGAGCAGTCTGTTGGTTTCTGCAAACAGAAACTGGGTAAATGTAAGAAAAAAATGAAAATAGAAACTAAAACAATTTTTTGAACTCAAATAAATAATTTTAGAGAAAATATCCTTAGTTTTAGGATGTGCTAATTTAGTAAGATTTTCTATCATGACTGCATGACTGTGAGTCAAATGCTTTCAGTAAGTTATGTGATTTGTTGCAATGGCTGTGGGGATTTTCCTTAAAATAATACTTCAAAAGACTAAAAGTAACACTGAAATGAATAAAAACTCATTTAAAACGAAACATTTTCAAACAATAAGAAGGAAACTGAAACAAGCAAAGCCACTCTGACATTAAACTGAATTCAAAACAAAAATTAAAAACAAAACAAAAATAAAAACTAGAGTAGAAAATACAAATTCAATAACACCTGCTGTGGGCCTTATAGCTTCTGATGTTTCATCTTGGAGAACAGACATAAATAAAGATGCAGCACAGAAAGTGTACACACAGCCCGCCTTTATTTTGAACAAACATTAGCCAAGCAATCATGTAGCATAGACGATGTCATCAAGTTATGCTGTTTTTCTGAACCTTCCTTTTATTTTGCGTAAGGCTTCAACAAATAGATTGCATTAACAAGGGTGTCTGCATAAATATAACATGACATACTTTGATAAAACCTCCCAGTCTTCTATCTCTTTTTCACGGAGCCACTCTTCTTGTCCGACTTTGACTTTTTCGCGTCTTTCTTTCCTTTTGACAGATTCTCGTAAACGTCCTCTTTGTTTCTGGAAAGAGCCGAAGAGAAAGCTGATTAGTGATTTCATCCTAGCCGCCAAGACTGATTAAACACAGATCTGTGAGAAACGCATCAGAGAGAGTGGAGAGATTAATGAAGGTCACGCTGCATGAGAAACGTTTAAACAATCCATCACTCAAAGCTGCAGGCCATCTATTCAGCTCTCCAAGTGGGTCAAAGTTTACAGCGTTACAGTGAACCGGCCAATGTGTGTCTGCTTTCTCCTAATAATTAAGTTCATTAAAAGCCTCGTCCAGTATGAGCATCTCATAGTCCAGAGGTCACAACAGACAACAGGTAAACAATATGACTTCATTCATTCACACAGTGCAAAATGTAAAAAAAACATTTTTTACACTTTTTTACACCTACATCCATTAAAAGTCCTCTTTGCATTAAGTCATCATGATGGCTGAAAGCAGCTTTTAGCAGGATACTTGTGCTTCAAGCTCATAAAGCAGGATGTAGCAATTGTAGGATCCAGTGTTTTTGGAGTTTGACCAAGTGGCCAGTGCAGTAGAGCCAAAAAACTGCACTTTCTCAAACAGCCACTTGGGGCTGGTTTCTAAAGTGTTATGAGGGGCAAAAAGCTCAATGTGAGGCTTCAGAAGAGTGTCTGTGTCCATCTTTTATACACAACCTGTGTTTGACTAATAGTCAGATCAGCTGCTTTGATCTTTAATCGTTCCTTCTTAAACTTGTCTTTGGACTTAACGCTAAAGACCAAATCAGCTGAATTCTACTTTTATTTTCTCTTTACAGGTATTGAGGCGCGCTACTACATCTATGAATCATCTACGAAAAAACAAGATTGTGGAAAGTCTTTTATGGCTCCAGAGAGAGCTCTGAAACCTCTGAGATTTACTGTCAACTGGGTCTGAACACAACAGGCCTGAAAAAAACCCCAACAAATAAAAAGGTCAAAGGTCTACTGATGTCGACTGAAAACTAAACAAGTGTTTCTCTCATTAGTATTTTTACATTGCAGAGATTTTATCTCCATGAGGTTAGCACCTGTCCTTTTTTGCACTACCTACACAGGGAACTACACAATATTTAAATAATGAAATATTTGGGTCGAGCCCTGCCTATTTCTCGATTTCCTCTCTGTATCTTTTCTAACATAATAAAAAAAAAAAAAGGCCAAAATTGCCACAAAAAATCTTTCAAAAGTAAAATCCTTTCTAATTTCCTCTTGTACTGATGTCCCTTTATTAAATTAAAATGAATCAATCTGTTTTTCTAAGAATATTTAAACACATAAATCAGATTTTAATTGGTTAATTAATTGGTTTAACTGGTTTAAACTAGAGTACGAACTACTCGCCGATAGCTCCCCACGTTAATGAAACAAGACTGTAAATCAGTTCTTCCTCCAGAAACTGCAGACATGAACCCGAAGACGGATCGTGTTTTTAAACAAAAATAGGGTGGCAGTGTGAGATTTAGAGGAACAACGTGAGTGCATTCGGGACACTCGATTCACAATCACACACACAGAGTCACTCACTTTGACACCACTCTGCCCGCTGGTTGGTGTTTGATTTGGAGATTTCCATACTCGGTCTCGGTTTCCTGAGGAAGAGAGAGGCAAAGACGTTTCACAAGTGACTGAGAAAGAATTAGTCAAACAGGGAGTGAGGTCACGTTGCTGGATCAGTCTGCGTGGTCGACTGTTTTCGCGTCTTTGGGTCAACGTTCATCTTTCATGAGGGACTCTGATAACTTATCATTCTGCTGGCATTGAACTGCTCCGCTGTAGTGTTTAAATCAATGATGAAATGAGCCAACACTCATTCACAGCCTCTTTTCTATGTTTCCCAATTTTAAACTATATTTGAGCCACAGTGACTAGATTCTCTGCTCCTCTCACCATTGAGGCGGAGTCTTTGGCCTTGGCGATCTGTATGTACTCAGCCACAGCCAGGTAGATGAATTTGTACTGGGCCTCAGTCTGCACCATACCAGAGCGCTGCTCTCGCACCATCTGAATGTATTTCGCAATGTCAATATCAATGTCCAGACCTGCAATGAAAGGGAAGTGAAAAAAAGGAAGGCGGTGAACGGAGGCACAGCAACAAAGAGTAAAACACGTCGAATGGTTTCATTTTTACTTGACTGATTTATCAAGAACATATTTCTTTACTGTATTGTTACCTAAAGTATCAATGGTCTCGATGATCATGTCAATTACCACGATTGTGCCCGTTCGACCAATACCAGCACTGCAAAAATCACAAAAGAAGCAAAGTTAATCTCACCCACGGAGACAAACAGGTCAGAAATTTGGACCAGAAAAGAAAGCACAAATGGATTAATGATGCAAAGTCCATTAAGTGTTCTAGTAAGCGGCGATACTGAACCAACATGTGCAACAGTAAGATCTCTTCTAAGTGCAATACAAACATCAATAACAATGTGCTTTGAGAAGTACTTACCAACTTCCCAATTTCTTAGTCTGTCACTTTCATGTTTCAGATCATCAAACAGATTTTATTATTAGACAAAGACAACCCAAGTAAACACAAAATGCTGTTTTATTAAGTGGAAAAAAGAGATCCAAACCACCAAGCCCCTTTGTGAAAAACTAGTTTTGCCACCTTTGGCAGCAAAAACTGCAATCAAGCATTTGCAATAACTGTCAATGATTATTTCAGATTGCTGTGGAGGAATTTTGCCCCACTCTTCTCTAGAGAATTGTTTTAATTCAGCCACAGTGGAAGAGGTTTGAGCATGAAACAGTTGTTTAGGTTATGCCAAAGCGTCTTAATCCGATTTAAATTCAAATTTTAACAAGGCCACTCCAAAACTATTGTTCCTTTCTTGCTTTCTTTTGTTTTTGAGACACTGAGAGGTGGACTTGTTGGTGTGTTTCCAATATTTGTAGTGCTGCATAACCTGACAGCGACTGAGCTTTAGGACACAAACTGATGGCCGGACACACTCTGCTTCAGGATTTTCTGGTAGAGAGCAGAATTCATGGTTCCATCAATTGCAGCAAGTCATGCAGGTCCATCACACTATCAGTACCATGTTTGACTGCTGATATGATGTTCTTTATATTAGTTGCTGTGTAAGTTTGTAACAGGATTCAGCTTTTGTCTCAGTCTGTCCACAGAATATTTCTCCGATTACATTTTCACACAGGCAGCACTGACCTAGAGGCAGTTACACTCACAGCTCAGTGAGATGCCAACAGGCTCGCATTACTCAATCAATACTGGTGCTTACCATGTGCAACACGTGCAACATTTATCATCTAATATCTGGCTTACATACAGCAAAACCCAATGCAAAGCTAAAATTGGTCATAAATCAAAGTAATGCACACCATAATAGTAGTGAACGCTGGGAAGGGACTGGCATAAGAGGACTAAAATCAATGCAAATCTATTCAGTAGTTATTGAGACGTTTCTCCAAGAACCACAAATGTCAGCCTCATGATGCTGCAAGAGAAAAACTCATCTTGTCACAGCACCATTAATGCCAATTATAAACTTCCCGACAAAAACAGGGCACAGATAGCTCAGTAGGTAGAGTGGTCGCTCCATGATGGGAAGGTCAGGGGCTTGAATCCACTTAACAGCTACCCTGAGGTACCCCTGAGCAAGGCGTCGTCCCTACACATTGCTCCCTGGGTGCTAGATTGGTGGCAGCCTGCTGCTTCACTGAGTGAATGGATTAAATGCAGAGAGAAATTTGTCCCCACAGGGATCAATAAAGTATACATTATTATTATGTTGTTTCTGAATCACTAGTCACAAATCTATATTTATTTCTCTCTAAAGAAAAAATACACATGCAACCATTTGTGAATATTTTTTAAGCCATTTTGTTTTTGCAGAGCCTCATGAGAATCATACAATTTTGATCCTGTTACTGGATTACTATATCCAGTGATCTGAACAAATGGCTCATTTGTGACTCATCCACGGCCCTGTGCAGGGGAAAGTGCACAGGATTTTACAACTAAACTTACACTTTTACTAGTTTGAAATATGTAAAACTACAAAAAAACAAACAAACAAGTTGTTTCAAAAAAAAAAGAAGAAAGGCCAGGATGAAGCTTTAAAACAAAATTAAAATCAAGTGTTAAAATCATTTGTTATTAATTATTAATCAGAAAAATATTTTCTAAATCAATAGGTTTGTCTAGGAAATGTCAGAAATGTGGACTTGATGCTATATTATTAGCTGATGAGATAGGCACTCCCAAATAACCAATCTGAGAGTAGGAGAGATTTTAAAAAATTAATTTAAAGTCTTTACTTGTTTTCATTTGAAAATATTCTATATTTATACATTATCAGGCAAAAATCTAAGTGAAGGAAACATCATGCTGTTGCATGCAGAGTCCTGTGTTGGGTAAAGTATTAAATTCTTCATACTTCATTTTTTAAACATGTCTGTATCGTTCAAAAATGCTAACACGGGGATCACATAATCACTTGACCGACATCCAAAATCTCTTTAAGGAAGCACAAGCAGCCTCAGCATCTTTTAAATCACACTGGGAAAATTCCAGTAGGATAAACTGTCAGTAAACTTGAAGCCTTTTGTTTAGTTACTACTAATCTTAATCCAGAAAATGTGCTTGTTTTAATCTTAAACCTCTAAGTATTATCACCTAATTAAGGATTATGAAACCCAGCACTTTGCAAAAAAAAAAGAAAAGAAACAGTGTTGCTTTGATATGTCTACTGTATTTAAAATGCAGATGTTTTCCACATCACTTGTTTAAAGTAGAAAGGATTTGAGAAGTGAAATATTCAGTGAAGAGTGTGGGTTGCAGCTGTTAGGTACCTGCAGTGGACGATCATGGGACCGGCGTTAGGAAATTCAGCCTGTTTAGAGTTCACTTGAGTGAGGAAGCCGAGGACACCGCTTGATTCCTGAGGGACGCCGTGATCTGGCCAGCTGAGGTACTGGTAGTGCCACACTTTGCGAACATGTTTTGGCTAAGAATGGGGGGGGGGGAACAAGAAAGGTCAAAACCTGGAGAAATCATTAGGTGTGCAGAGATGAGGAACCACAGTGAGGTGAGAGTTTGGTGTTTGTAGGTCACCTGGTCCAGGGGTGCGATCTCCAGGACTCGGATTTTATAATCACCAGCTTCCCTCTCTAGCTCGCAGCTCACCACGTAGCGGCCCACCTCCTTAGTTGAGTGGAGCTCAGGCCAGTATGGAACGCATTTATTCTGCACAAAAATGAAAAATAACTTCACCTTAAGCGTCACTTCAAAATCAACTAACATCTCAGGCTTTTTAAAAATCATGGTTGTCTTTCCAATTATAGTAATTTTTTTTTTCTGTGCTTCCACTTTTAACTTAAAAGCCATGCAGACAACTATTTAAAGTAGTTTCGCGCTGATCATTGTTTACCAGTCTTCTCTCGAAGGACAAACGAGGGTTACTTTAAGAGGGAAGTAGTCAGATGACGCATGCTTTTGAAGTGTTTTCACACATGAGCATAAATGGACCGTGTCGGGAGACGCAGGTCAGGGTGATGTATGAAGGTGGCTTTTCTCACACATAGCACACAACAGGAAATTGTTGGCTTCAGCCACTTTCTCACGCCCAAGATTTTTTTTTTTTTTTTTGGGGGGTAAGGGATAAAACATGGCGACCAATCACACTGTGAATTCACTCAGTAGGTTAAAGGCTTAAGATCAGGGCAGCATGGTAAGTGTGAAAACCACTTACAAATGTTGGATTTAAGTTGTCAGTCAGTTGTCTAGCACCTAACATGCACACAGCAGCTAATATGTGAGAGCTGGATAATCAGTGTATTTTACATCAAAAGCCACATACACATAATGTTAAGTGGCACAGACCAATGAAACTATTACCTCATACTATTAAAAATACCCTCCAAATTTGTCTCTTTTCTTTCAGCTTAATGATACACAATAATTAATTACTTGTAAATAATTGTTTGTTTTAGCTAATTACTTTGGGACATGATAGGCACAGATAAAAGTCCAAAATTTCTCCTTCTTTATAATTTTCACATTACAATCACACTGAACTGTCTGGCCGCTCATTTCCGGCTCTTGGGCCTTATGTTTGACACCTCTACTATAGATCATCAGTTTTACAGGTTCCAGCCAACAACACGCAACAGGTGTGAAACACAAACAAGAATCAGCACACTATAAAAAACTGAAATAAATGTATTAGAGTATAATTAAATGTCTACCAGTCACTTTATTAGGTATATCTGTTCAAACACCTGTAACCCCAAATGCTTTGACCTGATAGGAAGGCAACAGATAAACCTCATAAAAACCTCATTACAACGCAGGCATGAAGAAGGGCATCTCTGAATCTGTAACATGTTGAACTTTGAAACAGATGGGCTACAGCAGCAGAAGACCACACTGAGTGTTGCTTCTGTCAACTAAGATCAGGAAATTGAGGCTATGATTCACACACGCTCACCAAAATTAGACTGGAAGGCTGGAAAAACTTTGTTTGGTCTGATGAGTCTTAATTTTCTGCTGCATCATTTGGATTGTAGGGTCAGAATTTGATGTAACAAAACAAAAACAAAACACGAATCCATGGATCCATCCTGCGTTTTCATCATCAATTCAGACTGATTGGTGGTATAACTGTGTGGGGGACATTTTCTTGTCACACTTTCGCCCCCTTAGTACCAATTCAGCATTCAGCACAAGCTACCTGAGTATTGCTACTGAACATGTCCATCCCTTGACCAGAGTGCAGTGTTCTCAAACTAGTTTCCTAAGATGACAGTAAGCTCTCGGTACTCCAATGGCCTCCACAGTGCTCCGCGTAGAGCACATTTGGGATACAGTGGGACAGGAGATTCACATAATGCAGACAAATCTGCAGCAACTGTGTGATGCTTTCATGCCAATGTGGATCAAAATGTCTGAGGATCTAGCACCAATCTATGAAATGAAGACTTAAGGCCATTTTGAAGGCAAAACCCGATGCTCAAATTAAGCGTTTAAGGATGTCCTGATCAGCTCACAAATTCATTCAAAAAGCACAAAAAAAACCCCCCCTCAAAACAAAAATGTAAAAGTCCCTAATCTGCTTTTATTTTATTATATTAATTATTCTGATACTTTTCGATAGATTGGTAACATGTCCAGGGTGTACCCTGCCTCCAGCCCAACTGTGACCCTGTATTGGATAAGTGGAAAAAAAGGATGCATGGATGTTGCTATACTGACCCGTCCTTTCTCGACCTCTCTTGTTGTCATCACGATCACGCTGGTCCTCTCTTGCCATACCATCTGCCAGAAATCATTAACTGTTGTTGCTAGACACCCCTGAGTGGCAATGTAAACTTTCTGATCTTCGGATTCCTGCAGTTTGTTCTGCAAACACAGAGCGAATCAATGCACACTCGGAACCAAGAAAGACTTCAAAGCAACAAATATCACAGTTTTCTTCTGTGTCTTTGTCACGCTGTGTTTCTATGAGCTCAGTGGCTTTGGATTCTTACTTTCACATAGTTGCCGTTGATGTAATCTGAACCCACAACATTGGGATCACTGTCCTCCAAGATGACCCTGGTGTCATTGACTTGTGAGAGGAAAAAAGTGGAAAGAAGTTCATTGAGAAACAGTGGGAAAGTTAGCTCTGTGTTGATTTCTTTAATTCAGAGAATAATAATGATAAAATAAAAATGCGCTCACATGGAAGTATGTTCTTGTATCTGTTTTTGCTCTTGTTTTCAGGTCTTTGGCCCTCATCTCTGCTCTTTTTCACCTTTGCCTCCAACTTTTGAAGAGCCTGGCAGGAGAGAGGATGACAGCGTGATGCCTGCTGTGACCTGTGCAGTATGCTCCATATACAAACCAACGCATGTTACAGTTTTATACTAACACGAAATGATAACAACAGCTGTTTTCACAGAAAAATGAGGTCAGCAGAAGGCCTGAACATGTCCTTTCTCACATGTAGCATACAAAAGGACATGTTAATCTAGCCTAGGCTACACCCACTTTGTCAATAATAACCCATTAACTCATGTCCTGTACTGCAGTCCTGGACATGAGTTCATAAATGTATCTACAGGAATTAATGTTTGTCCATTTTTACATTTTTTTTGGATGACCCTTCCTCCCCAAAAGACACAAATCCATCTACGTATGGTGATCTTTATGCACCATCAGTCACATGACTGACATGGGCCGCTTACTAGAGTGACAGCATGCTACAAACAAATGTCTTTTTCCTTGCACAGACAGAAAAGGATTACTTGGAATGGGAATAGTTTTCTTTTCTTTTCCTTTAGTTTCCCATGCGTACTTTGTCACTGGCCTCTTGCATGTTTATTACATTCTTAGTCATTTAAAAATGACTAAGGTTTTTCATACTACACCAATGTAATTAAGTCGTGGCTAAACAATTAACTGACAAAGGTTTCTGTTTTTTCACTATCTAACATAAAAAGTTTTGGGTTTCTAGTGAATTCACAATTAAAAACACGAAAATAGAACATTTTCTGTGAATTAACAAAAAAGTTCTGTTTTATAACTACAGGGACAGTCTGGACATGAGCTACTGCTTTTACACATTCATTTTATCATGTTCAAAAAATTAAATATACTGCTGAAACTGAAATGTTAAAATACCTCATGGATCAAAGTGGGCCGTGTGCGGTCCACGATGATTTCACCACTATAGGAGAAACTTGAAGGATAAGTTTAGTTCTCCAGAAAATCCTTTGAACTGATTTTTCGATTAAAATGTTCTTTTGTAAAAGAATTTCTGACTCTGGTTTTGGAAATTAGTTTACAATCTTTCCATTAAGTATTTACATTTTAATGAAATAATGAAATAAAGCCACGAGGGTTTAAATTTACTAATATTCTTTACCTGGTTTGACAAGTAAATCAACAGAAGTTCAAAATGAATCGATGAAAAGAAAAGAAACACTTAAATGTTCTGCTTGTGTGGTGATCAAAGCTGCAAATGAAGCTTTGAATGCCCCATATTTAGTGTATTCTCCAACCACAAGATGGTAGCATACTGCCTGTACAGTTGTTTAGGCCCCACAAGGAAGTAAAATACCAAAGCCTGATGGCAATTTCTGTTGGTTTATAAAATGCTGATGTGTGGTCTATTTTATGCTAATGCTTTGTGTGAAACAGCAATAAGTTTGGATTAAATCTTACGTCGAATTCCTCCCAGAAGCCCGCCTTGCTCTTCTCTCCCTCGCCATCCTGCTGCTTCTGTGTGGTCTGGTCCAGCTGTTTCACTCTGCTGTCAATATCTGCTGCGTTCACTCTAGTGGAGTAATACGGCTGAGGGAGGGAAGGAAAATTTTATATTAGAGATTAAAGGAAATAAGAAGCCAATGAGCGCGTTACACATCGTCATAATTAAGACAAACGCAAACAAGTGAGTAATGTTTCCTATCTGTGGGCTGTGCTGCTCGTCTTTTAAAATAATTTACAAAGAAGACATCCTGCCCTCGTTTTATAAGATTCAAACATGGTTTCATGTGACATTTACCTCAGACATCACTCACACTTTTAGAGTTTCTGGTCTATTGACATAATTTGTCTATAGTTTATCTCACCTGTTTGAGGTAAACCCAGTTTCCAGAGATCTCCTCAATGCCTTTGCGTTTGTAGTGCTCCACCAAGTCTGTCAGCGTGTCAAACATGTCTGAGCCTCCGATGGTATACCTGTCACTCTGCACACACCAATCATGTCAACGACAACAACAACAAAAAAAGTTTCAAAGACGGCCAAGTGAAAACCCACAATTAAAGACAAAGCAAAATTGGAGTTCAGTCAGACAACCCGAGCTTAAAATGTTTAGAGTTTAACATCTAGGCTCCAAACTCTTTCATATTTCAAATATGACACATAAAGTTATGTGTCATAAATATAACACATAAATTGGGAAGTGATGAGTAGATATTGCCCCGAAACCTGCAGGTGGATCCTGGGGCAGTGTTTGACATGTCAAAGGGAGACATGGGAAATTCTGCAGAAATTCTGTGAATAGGTCACCAAATTGAGATGGCCTGTATGGTACAAGACGGTATAAGAGTGTAGAATCGGTGTGTATTAAGGAGCATACGCGATTCAATCCAAAGTAAATAAGAAAGGTTTGGGTACAAAAGAGCTGTCAGAGAGCATCCCTCTGTGACATGCACATGCAAACAATATTCAAAGCATGTCTACAAAAATGCGTCAATGCTAGACTGCCCAAAATTCTCAGTTTTACAGTTGCTACAAAGCCGATTTCCTCAGGCAGCGAGCAACCTTCTGCAGCAGCCGACGATTCAGAGCAGTGTGGCCGGCAAACTCGCCTGATCTCTGCCACGTGCTTGTGAAAAGCCCCTTTGTGACCCCACCACTAATCTTATATTAATCTTGTTAACCCCAGCAGTGCACAAAACATGTAACCAATTTAAATGCAGGCCGAGGAGTGTTTTCTGTGAGGTGTGCCGTGGTTAAAAATAACATGCAAAGGCCCTGATAGTGACCAATGGCGGAAAGACACAATCTATGAAAATGAGTCGGCCATGTGAGACGTTTTTGTGAGTATCATTGGCAGTTGTTTGCTGTGGCTGTGTAAACAAAGACTGATATCAGGATAAGGTTGGGTTTCATCTGTTTGTCTATTTCCACTAAAACATGACACTGCTTTTTTCTTTTTTTTTATTTCATCAGTAGCTGAAGTATGAGAAAAAAGTCTTTTATTACATAAGAAGGGGAAATGAGACCTAAAACCTTTTTTCAACGTGAGTTGCACATATACGGGAATGTCCCTCAGTATTTTTGTGATGGGACGCAGTTTCAAGGTCTCTTGTTTCTGTACGTTTACACTAAGACAGTGATAAAGAAAAACAATACCCTGGTTTCATGCATTCGTATTTGCCACTGAAACATGCATGGCACCCACCTGGCACATTATCTTTATGTGCGAGACCCTCTTTCCTCCGCTTTTGCTGATCTCGTCCGTCAGAACAGAGAGGACAAAGTCTCCAGGTTTGGACAGCGACTCTCTGACCAGGAAGGTCCCTGGCTCGTCTTTCACAGAGAGCAGCTTCTCGGCGTTGGACCCTGACAGGTGACCGTGGTACCACCTGAGATACATGCACACTTGTTTAATATTAAAATGGCAACTTGTGTCTCCTGCAGATTTTTGGCTTGTGAGCACTGCAAGATAACTTTGACATTTTAGACACAAAAATAAAAAACAAAAAAAAACCTCCTTCTTACTGCTTTCTACACGTGAGCTAAGAACCGGTAGCGCCATGGGTGCTGCATTAAAGGCATTCAAGCCTGAGCGGTTGTCAGAGAGACACTGATGTGGTTCACTGGGCTGTTATGCGTACCGTACAGTAAAATAGAAATAGAAAGCCACAACAGAATCGGGAGAATTAGAGGAGTTATAAACAGCGAGAGAAAATACACAGATGTTGCCGTTATAGAGCAGGTCAAGTGTATTTTTATGTCCAACACTTACTTCGTGTGTGTGTGTGTGTGTGTGTGTGTGTGTCAGTGCATGCTCAGTCAGGCTGGGCTGTGACTTAATTTTAGGCACAGTTCTCGATTTCTTCGTCTAAACTTCCTGCATTGCGGTCGGAAAATTTCTGATGACAGATTTCGTGGCTGAAGAGGACAAAGTATTTATAGACTCCCCCCGGTTTATCATCCACAGATAAGTACGCTTTGTTTTTTTTTTCTTCTTTTTTTGTGTGTTGCAAGTAGTTTTTGCATGCTTTTAATAATTCCCTTCTTTCTTTTTTTCAAGATTTACTTCTTTGCCAAATCACACAGCATGCTTTTACAAAGAAAAATAAATAGAGACTGCACCTGGTGATTTTTATTTAAGGCAGTGTGCAAGAAAAACAGCAAAGACAGAAAAAAAGAGGTCGTTTTGGCTCCGTTTTACAGACGCTGTGCAGCAGAAAACAGCAGCTGTGCGTGTGAGTGGTCAAAATTTTTTTTAGCACAGTTTAAATATGCATGTGTTGTGTGAGGTCGAACATGATAATTGTCCTCAGAGCACTTTTGTCCTTTTTCTAGGAAGCGTTAAGCTTCTAGGTAAATAGGAACTCTCATATAAAGAGGACTGCATCACAATGCAACCTGGTGAGGTAACTGTGCTCTGCAAAGAGCCGAGAGAGAGTTCGGGTTAGATGAGGAAGATAGCAAGTGAGTGAGCAAGAACATGATGGAGTGTGCAATAGAGGAAGGCAAAGCAGGGTCTGGCCATTGCTTTCAAAAGTGTCAAAACTTAAAGTTTCCAACCGCAGCAACAAAAGGGAAGTTAGACAACCGACAGAGAGAGAAGGACGGGGAGGGAGGGGGGGCACAGGGTAGAGCATCTAGTTTGGGTGAAACACACCATAATACACACATACAGAAAGCAGTGTCCTCCTTGAGTCATAAAAGGAGTCAAAGTGTACAACTTTACCACTACAAGTTGGACATTAACCCACTTTAAGCAGCCTAGAGTCGCACAATGTTTCCAGCTTGGAGGAATATACCGTCAATTAGCCGCCACCTCTAGCAGCAATGTCATAGCGTTCAAAAGCCTGCGCATATAAGCTCTAAGAATATATATATGCAAGCTTTCTGATGTTGTTTTTGTCAAACAATACATAGATTAAGATTTGGATGTGTATAGCAGAAGGGCAGATTGTCCTTTGATGTGAACGCAGACAAAGACGTTAGAAAATCTGTATCATCTGTGGCTATATTTAGCAGACACGTCAGACATCAGCAAGAATGAAATAACGGAAAAAAAGTGTTTTAGGAAGCAGCATGATAACTGCTACAAACTCTGCTACGCGACTAAAATTCCTGCATTTGAAAACACATTTTTAGGTTAAATTTAAAAGCGGTCGTTTTAGTGAAGAACTACTCCTGTTACAGCAATGACTGCAATGCTGATTTGTAACCAAACCACTCAAAACTCAAGCGTTAAAAGGCAGGCTCTTCCTTATGCAGCTTCTCGTAACAAGATCCTCTCCAAACGGTTCGAAATGATATCCTCTATGAGTTCATTCCATCCTAAATAAAAATAAAAATCTTTATTTACATAAACTGTTTCAAATTATTCGTTAATATTTCTCTCAAAAAAATGGCTTTCGTGGACGATAATTGCTGGTTATTTTTTCCACATTCACTTACTTAAACTGCTCTGTTCTGGGAACAAAGATAAACAATGCTTCCGGCACTGCTGCGTAAAGTACTGACAGAATCTCTCGGATACATGGGTGCAAAGGTTAAAAATAAATCTACGCTATCAGAAGAGTCAAAGTCTGATATCACTGCATATTTAAATTCATGCCAGATATTGATTTCCCTTCTTTTTTTTTCCTCTCTTTTTTTTTTGGCACCTCTGATTAAAAATAGAAGTAATTTTAGAGGGAATTCTGGTTGACTTTGATCTATTTCTATTAAGAGGAAAAAATAAAACCAGTGTTGCAATAATCTATTTATATGCAACAAACACACCACCTGAATGTTTGATCATCACTGTGCGTGTGATGCATGTCCGGAGCTGGGTTAAAAGTGTTTTTAAATACTTCTGGAGGAAGTAAAATGTTAAGCCGAACTAAAAATCTGAGCTCAAGAGAAGCCCTAGGAGATGATGTTTTTGGAGTCGATCATGGGTGAATACCCCACTTAAAACAGTGTCATGCAGCATTTAAACCAAAACACGCAGAATATTTGATCATATGTCAGGATTATGGATTATGAATAATCAGGGAGGAAGGATGAGGTAAAATTTTTTGAGTCTTCTTAGTTTTTTGGGGCCCAAAGCCATATCCGATTGTTTTGAGGGAGCTACATTTTTTATATGTAACCTGTGGGGGTTTCTCTGAAGAAATACTTGAATTGCAAATAAAGTTTCCACCTGGAAAAGAATACATGCTGCTCGTATGTAATCCACAAGCTGCGGCAGGGGAGACTGGCGTAGGAATAAAGTCTCGACAGCTCGACAGCGTGGGCACTTGTTTTTACTGACTCATACGGTAAAAGAAAAGTTGCTATTACATATACATTTTTTTTTAAATTGGCCACAGATCAAAAGTGTTTCCCACAGAGGAAAAGATTAAAGCCGAAAGAAATATTGAAACAACAAATGATGCCTGTTATCCCAACTACAGAGGAAATATACCTGGTCACAGTTGACTATATTTGACTCAACCGCCTAACTAACCACTGTTTTAACTTAACCCGAAAGTGTAGGTGGAGCCAGCGCAGAGAGGCCGGTGACTGTGGGCCACATTAACCGGCTGGGGCTTGAACAGTGAACACAGAGCTGAGACGTAATGATGCACACACCTCTCTGTGGTGGGGTCGGAGCAGTTGAGGGGATATTTGAGCTCGATAACGGTGCCGTCCTTGTCCTGCAGGATGCCGTTCTCTGCCGTGTAGTAATCCACCAGCTCTGACAGCGTGGCAAACTTCTCACCGCCATATAAGTCATAGTAGTCTCCTGTATTTTGGATGCGGATGTGGGTCACCAGCTCACCCACCCTGAGAAGATAAGGCCACACCAACTAACCGTCAGTGTTTTCCTGGCATAAAACTTCCTGTTTACAGTGTGTAATAAAAATTGACCTGCACAACAAATTTTATGTCGTTTTTATCTGTCAAAAAAAAAAAAAGATCAAGGGCGCTCGGCCCACAAATTACTCAACCACAATCTCACAGAGCATTTCACAGATTCTGCAGCCAACAGTGCTGTATAGTACCTGTGTGTGTGTCAGTGCATGCTCAGTCAGGCTGGGCTGTGACTTCACTTTAACACATGGTGTATATATTTTGTATTCTCTGGTTGCCTGAGTAGTAAAGACTTTTCTAGATATATTGTGTTTCCTGTTATCACTTTGGACCAGGAATCTTGCCAAAGTCTTTTTCTTTTTGCATTTAACAAGACTTTGGCTTCAAGAAATAAATACCCTTTAACATCGACTGAATTTAGGCTTGGGACAAAATTTTAAACTGTTATCTTGGCACTGGAGCAACTGGATGTTACCGTTTCGTGTCTATTCAGTGTAAAGGCTCCAATCTGCAAGACGTTTCTAAGATGGAAAAAGAAACCTGTGTAACTAAAATGTGTTTTTAAAATATCCTCCGATGGTGGTTAATGGGTTTAATGCACTTTGACTTGGTAAATGAGAGGCGCTGTGGTTTTGATCACCAACCTTCAACCCAAAAAAGACAAAAGCGCCAAAAGTGTTTTTTTTTTAACGTGTAAAAACTGGATGATGGTTTCTGAAATATAAAAAAGCTACAATTTATTCCATCTTTTTGTCTCTTAAACAACAGATTTTACCCCTCGGATCATCAGTGAACAGATGTTTTATGTCATTTCAGCTTTCAGGATTATGAAACTGACCTACATGGTAGCTTTACTTTAAGACCTGCTTATAGGAAATGACCACTGACACACTGCAAAAGCATCTACAGAAATATTGTCTTTGGAAAAAGTTCTGACATGTGACCTTCACAAGTGTGAGTGTATCACACTTCTACTGCACAGTCACAACATAAGCCAACACTGTGAAACAAGGTTTTGCTACTCAGGATGATTATTTCAGGTATCAGATATATTTATCTGTACTATTTTAACAGGAATAAAATGGTAATTTACAATTCACAGTTTGACTTTGTCACGATCACAAAGTGTGGCGGGTGCTTTCATTTACACCTGCAGTACATGGAGTCCTCAAATATTCAGCATCTCTTTTTGTATTTAAAAAGAAAAAGACAAAAAATAGAGAAATACTTTATATTGTAGGAATTTAGGGATTTAAAGAAGCTGGGAATGCAGGAATCCAATTTTTGCGCTGGGGGTATCTTGAGATGAATCATGCACATCAAGCACGAGCTTTAAAATTCACAAAATCAAACAAAGATTTTTGGGTGCTCTATTACCTTACAGACAGGGAGAAATCGCCAACATTTTTCTTACTGGGCCGAGCCAAAAAGCTGCCATGAATGCCTCGAGTCTTGAGTATCTCCTCGGCCTGCAGGCCTGTGATATCTCTGTGGAACCATCTGCATAGACATAAATATAGTGTGTAAAACATAGAAATGCACTCAATGCGAAGCCGCCACAAAAGACTTTACGAGATTAATGTCGTATGCATATTAACACGCAAGTAACTGTGCACAGGATCGCCGCGAGTATAAGGTAAACTGATTAAAAACACACACAAAAAAACGCAAAATAGCTGCACATCCTCACAGAAACTTTGAGGCTGATCTCACCGGTCTACAAAAAGAAAAAGAAAAACTTAGTTCAGCCTTTCGAACACCAATTTTAGCACATCTCTGATCTAATTGCTGCAAACTTCTGTTACTATTTTTTAGATATTTTTTAGATTATGCCAATTTTACAGTTAATATGTTATGGTTCACAGTCAAAACGGCAGTTTTTGCTGTGCATGCATATTAATCACGTTTACAGACTTTAATCTTGATCAGAAAATGCAAAATTACTTTTTCCGCTCATTCTCGTTATCATTTACTATTAAACAGGACATAATGACATCTGTTTAAACGTTTCAATAAGGCATTTCAGAATGGAATAAAACAGCAGCAGAAATATTGATACTATGCAGCACATCTGTCCAAATATAACCCACAAATCCACAAACTCTCCGGACCAAAACGGTGTTTGTCATTTGTTTGCTTTAAAGGTGTGATACACGTTGGCTAACACTCTGTGGCTAACCACAAAAAAAATTCAACAGACCTAACGTTGCTTTTTAAAGATTTTATGCACATTAGATTAAAAATGCTTTTTTTAAAAAAAAAAACAGCAAGAACATTTTGAATGTCGCTGCATCAGGAAAAGTCACCTCACCAGCTCACTGCAAGAGCATGGCACAAAAACGGGCCCCAGAAATGTTGGAGAATCCTAACTTTGGGTTTTTCGCGACAAATACGGTGAACTAGAATTAGTCAAGTTTGAATACATCACTGTCAAAAGGGTAGGGTGTATTCAAGGTTCATAAAACTACACTCACAGATAATTTAAAAAAACCCAACTTGTTTTAAATGATTACATTTTCCATTTTAATCAAGGAAATCTTTAACTTTGGGATGCCAAAAGTGATCTTTATATGGGAATGGGTTGAAAAGGAGAACATCTGTAATACTGTTACCAATACACACTAGTGGCAGCTCATGCAAAGGGAACGTGATACAGAACCACTAAAGAAGGCAAGTGTTGAGGCTAACAGGTGTTTTACTCAAAGCTCTGAACTTAAACATCATCTATGACACATTTTTTTAGAACAAACAGACAAGACAAGGCAACCACATGATAGGGGAAGAGAGCAGGACGAGTCGGCAGCTGGAGAACGACACAGGAGGAAGAATGGAAAGAGAGAAGTTGTCTTTACGGCTTGCACAAAACACAAAGAACACGACCAGAGCTGGCTAACAGAGTACTACAGTGTCCAGCGGGGGACTGACTCACCGAACCATGTTGTCTCGTCAACGTTTCTGGGACCAAAGAGAAGAAGAAGAGCGATTGGTGAGCAGGAGCCGCTTGTACCTGTGTCACATGTGTAAACTCAGAAGTATACGTTTCTTCTTTTTTTCAAATCACTAATCTAAGACAAAAACTAGCCTTCCTCACTTCACGGTCGCTAAAACTGAAATTAAGTCTGGTTCATTCGTGTGCGTTTACTCTTTAACTTACTTACTCGACTTCAGACACCGACATTTCCCATCTAATGTTAACCTCTGCATAAGGCCACATTCACAAAACAACCATCAGCCCATGCCATTCTCCTCCATCTACTCTTGCCTCCACCCTCTTCCTACATCCTACTCCCCTCAGTCTCAGTAGGAAAACAGGTAAACACTTACTCTCCTCGGCTTCCTCGGCAAACAAGTGACACTCAACAAGACGTACAGACTGTATACGTCTGCCTCTCCTCCTCTCTGTCGATCTCTCTCGCGCTCCTCTTCCTTCCTTTTTACGTCTCCTTTCACAAAATAGTGAAAGCAAGACAGGAACCAAAATAGCTGACAGGCCGGAATTCCTCCACCAGATAGACTTTTTTAGACGACAACCACAACAGCAACCAAAAAAAAAAACTTGTTACATTTGACAACGGTGTCGTTTTAAGCTATGAACATGTGCCCTCTGGCGCTCCATCGCTTAGTTTTCTGTGCAGACCTCGACAAAAACGGCAGCAGGCGAGATTCAAACGGTTCCATTCGGCAGCGAATCACAAGCCAGAGCGACACACCAGTAATTCCAGCTCAGTTACAGGAATAAAACATCCACCAAATAGGCAGTTTGAGCTTCTCGTGCCAGCGTGAACAAGCCCGCACTTTGTCTCTCACTAAGCATTTGCAAAGCTTTTCCCCTCTGCCTGCCCACCTGTCTGCAACCACTGTTGACTGTTTGTGCTTTACTTCCAGGTGTGTATATAACACACAAAGGTCAGAGTCACAGATCGCTTCCTCATTCACAGTTTAACCTTCCCCCCTCGGTGTGCAGAAATGTTTATACATAACTGTGTGTGTGTGTGTGTGCGCACATGTGCTGCTTTCAGCTGCAAGCGTGAGCGCCTTTCATTATCAGACTACAGAGGCAGAAGTACCAAACCCGAAGCTGAAAACTGGCATTAGGCAAATAATTTAATGCCACATGTTTATCTTTGCTCCATAATTTTCAAGGAGAGGCCAGGTTTCTTGCAATGCAACACAGACACACATAAGAAATGTCTGGCTACTCTGCAAACACATGAAAAAAAAATGTTAAAGAACCACAGATAATCTGAATCTAACTTGCATGTCATATTTACCTATAACAGGCTTGAGAAGGCAAATTTGAATTCAAAATATTTAATTCCTTTTCCCAAGAATATATACCCATGGGCCATGCTGAAGTGTGAAATCAATTCTAACGGTCTTAATTTAAGATCGTTACAGATAAATTTGCAAAGCTGACAGTGAAGCTGTGCTTAAACTCTGGGTGAAAAAAAAAAAGTTAAGACAAAGTGGAAGAAACTGCAACATATAGTTCACCTCACCCCCCCTATAGACACACACACACACACTCTCTCTGTCTTGCGCACACACACACACACACACACACAGAGCCCTGCAGGTGCTGCTGGTCGTGGTTAACACAAGCTATTGCAGTTTGCATTATTCTGCGCTGAGGTTCTCATGTTTAACAGTTGAAGCTGGCTTCCCCATCTAACATCACAAAGCTTCAGTTCTCAGGCTGGGGGACACAGGCAGAAATGTGCACACACACTTTGTCTTTGTACCGCCTCAGAGTGACAACAAGGATGTTTCCCAGATTTGGTCAGTCTGCTGAGTGTTGCAATGCATCGGTATGTTGCAATGCATCAAACTGTTTCTGTTTAGAGGAATTTACAGTACACGCACTTCTGCTCTGTTCATTAAAGGCCTGAAGAGCGAAGATAATATTAGTGATTGGTGACAGAAATTGTTATTTTAGCCTCACAATCACAACTTCTTTGTTTCTAAATGTGAAGAGTTGTTCCTCTCTGTTTTTGTATGTTTCAAACTAAATGCCACCGCTTTGATTGGGGAACAGTCAGGCAGCATTTAGGCTGCATTTCCTACCAATTATTGCTTTGAGCTTTTGCCTTTAGTGCTGCTTTAATTCTTAGTGGCTTAGACTCAACAAGGTTCTGGAAAAATTCCTCAGAGATTTTGGTCCATATTGATCTGACAGCATCACACAGTTGCTGCAGCTTTGTCAGCTGCTCACCCATGATGTGAACCTCTCGTTCCAACACATCCCAAAGGTGCTCTATTGGATTGAGACATGGTGACTGTGGAGGCCATTTGAGTACAGAAAACTCATTGCCACGCTCAAGAAACCAGTTGTGAGCTTTGTGACATGGCACATTATCCTGCTGGAAGCCGACATCAGAAGACGGGCACACTGGTCATAAAGGTCAGCAACAACACTCAGGTAAGCTATGCTGTTCATGCTCACTTGGTATTAAGGGTCCAAAGTGTGCCAAGAATCATCCCTCACATCTTTACACCACAACAGCCACTTTAAATGTTGATACAAAGCACGATGGATCCATGCTATTGTGCTGTTTACACCCAATTCTGACGATATCATCTGAATTTTGCAGCAGACTCATCGCATGAGGCGACATTTTTCTAATATTTCATTGTCATTAACAGTGCATTTAGGTGTAAACTGTGTGAGCAGCACCTGGTTGTAAAGGCCAGAATGCAGTTTTCAAAGTTTCCAAAGCGAACTTTGGTAGATGATGCTTGGTCAATGTGTTGTAGATATGGATGAAAGGTTTCTCATCAGTACCAAGAAAAGCAACACTTTTTAAGCCTCAACAACACAAAGCAGATGGAAAATATCAGCAGGTACTGAAAAGGCTCAGAAAAGAAAAAAGAGAAAAAAAGAGAGAGAAAAATTTCATTGTCTGGTTTTTGTGACCCCATGTAAATCATAGCCTCAGTGTCCTGTTCTTAGTTGACAGGAGTGGGAACTGGGTGTGGCCTTCTGCTGCTGTAGCCTATCTGCTTCAAGGTTCAGCATGTTGTGCATTCAGAGATGCTGTTCTGTGGCTGTAATGAGTGGTTATTTGAGCTACTGTTTCTTTTCTGTGAGCTCAAAGCAGTCTGTCCATTCTCTTCTGAACTCTGACATTAACAAGGCTCCACAGAGACGGTTGTGTGGGAAAATCGCAGTTTCTAAAACACTCAGACCAGCCCTCCTGATACCAATAACCAAACCATGGTCAAAGTCAATTAAATCATCTTTCTTCCTCGTTCTGACGCTCAGTTTGAACTTTAGCAGGTCATCTTCACCACATCTACATATAAACCTAATAAACTGAGCTGCTGCATTAAGAATTAATTAGACAGGTTAAGAAAGTGTCTGGTGAGTGTATGCGTAGACCTTTTAATTTCCATATGCGTGTTACCTGATTTACTAAAAAAAAGTACTTAAAAAAAAGGAAAAGAAAATAGGCAAATCCCAATTGGACATCTTCAGATATTTTCCAAGATTTATGAACCAATGTTTATTTTCTATAGGCATTTATTACCCTTTATCTAACCAGGAAGTGATACTCTTGAAATAAAGAATCTCTTTTGTGAGAGTGTCATGCATCCATACAGGCAGGTTAAGGCAGGTTTTTCAATGTAAAGTAGAGAAAACCTGCACGACTATGGTAGAAAATGCAAACTCCATACAGAAGTAATGAAAGCACAAGTGACAGGTAATGGACTAAAGTGAGCAAATGCTTGAATACATTCGATCTGCATTCAGAACTACACTGAATTATGACCCACATTCTCTTCAGCCAAGTCCAGAAGCCTGAGTTCAGTTATAAAGCTACCACACAACATTTAAATCTTGCAACTACAATTCAAGACCCGTTAAATACTCAAGATATTTCTCATATACTCTAACCTTTGCAGATCTGCTTTCAGGTACAATGCACCACAAAGACTGAAGGAAATCCAAACTGTCCTAAAACTACAGACTTTCACTCTCCTCGGGGATCTTGGAGCTTTATTACCTGTTTTTTTTTGTTTGTTTTTTTTGTTCCTCCTGCTCATAATTTCCTGCTGTGTTTACAGTCAAAGAGTCAAACCTTAGATACTGATCTGTATGTGAAGGTTTACGGTACACATCAGCTTTTAGATGTCCCCCACTGATGGAAATCTCAGTAATAAGAAGGCTAACCTGCCACTTTTCATATCCTCCCTGGTGAATTTGATGTCGGTCCACCGAGTTAATGTGATCCGTGAATTAAGGTTTGACTCTCATCATCCAATGGAGCATAAACTGAGTGCCATCAGGACGCTACAACACAGAGCGAACACCATCCCCACAGACGCAGCGGCCAGGGAAGCAGAAGAACATCACATCAAGGAGGCCCTGAGTAAATGTGGTTATCCCAGCTGGACATTTGTCAAAGCTGGGAAGGCGCCTAAAGAAAGCTTCAGCCGATTCAGGAGAGAAGGACAACCGCCGCCTAAGCAAAAACCTGCAGTTATCCCGTATGTGTCAGGAGTATCGGATCAGTTGAGACTCTGTCTCTGTGGCTTTTAAACCTCAAAACACGCTGCGCCAAAAACTGGTCCACCCCAAGGATCAAACAGAGTAACATAGTGTACGCTGTTAAGTGCCGGGAGGATTGCAGGATTTATACATCGGGGAAACCAAACAACCTCAGTGGTCTAATCAGCGGGTGTTGATCAATGGTCACGAGAATTTGCATAATTACGATGAAGGAACTGACCACCCGGCCCATTGTTCCTTCACTGGGCTGGTTTCAGTCATTATGCAAATGAACTGTTTATAAAATGCAGTCAGCTGAGACTGAAGAAGTCACTTGGATGAGTGACAAAACGTTTCTTCCACTGAAAAACGCTACGTGAGATGAACAGAATCAACTTATGGAGTGCCACTGTGATATTTTTAATCATAAATATGCCACCTGCCATTAATTTGTCGACTTCTCCGACAGCTTTTTGTAGTTTTCATAGGACCATGCCCCTTTGCACTGCTTCCAAACACTTTGCTTTCTATTGTGTGCCTTTCTCTTGTTGTGTGTGTGTGTGTGTGTGTGTGTGTGTGTGTGTGTATATATATATATATATATGTATATATATATAATATACATATACATACATACATATACATATATATATCTTCTGTTTGCCATTTATTCCTAATTTATTTATTTTTTTACTATTTGTTTTTGCACCCGCGAGATGGCGTGGAGCACCTATAATTTCGTTGTACATGTACAGTAATAGTAAAGAGCTAATCTATCTATCGACCAATGTGGCAATTTTTTAAACATTGTAATCTCTGACTTTACTGTAACTTTTCACTTATAATTATCACATTTTACTATTCTAGTGTGAACTAGCAAGTCTGTTTACGCAAATACTGTTTACGCAATTTATGTACTGTTTCCGCAAATACTCATAAAAATGATGAAAAACTATAATTAATTACATTAGGACAGCTCAGAATATCTGTCATGGATTAGGGGACCCGTATAGCTATAATAACCACAAATAAAGCCATTAAAAAAGCATTCTTGTATAATTTTTTTTTTTTTTAAAGTCAGTAATTTTATCTGTTAACTCTGCTTGGTCGTTTGAGGGTTAAACATATCCTCCAAAGTCTTCAAAGAGACAAAAGAACAGACAAAGCATAAAAAGTAAAGTAGCAGCAGCAGAAACAGGCAACAACGAAGCTCAATGACAAAAAAAAGTATTGCAAAGCAGCAGCAGAAAAAGAAATATTTGTCACATATGCACAAGAAACTTACCCACAAGACATTATGTGGACTCTCCTCTTTGCACTAAGCCTAGATTAGTCTGTACGAGGAAGTGATGGTGGGGTAAATCCCGAAGTCAATATTCCTCCGTCTCGGATCAGAGTAAAACTCACAGAAAGCATCAGGTTACTTTAACATTCTGCTCATGAATTTTGAGCGCAAGTTAAATCCCCTTTTCCTTACACCCAGTCAGGCTCAAGTTTAGCCTTCCTCTCTGGCTCACTCTCTTTCATGATAAGATATCAGGCTTCATTACCGGCCCAGTAACCCTCCCGCCCTGTAATTTACTCCAATTTTCTTAATTAGGATTCTATCTGTGGGAGAAAATGTGCCTGTTCCTGTCCCTTCTTCTTTGCTCTTCCTCTAACAAACTCTTCCATATACAAATTCTCTCGGGTTTTTCCGCCTCGCTGCATTTGCTTCCATGTAAATTCCAATTTGTCTTTCCAGGTTTGCATGCAAATTATGGCATGCTTTGTGTGCGAGAACAGTATCAGGCTGTTCTGAACGTGTACTTTTTTGTGCATGCAAGCGTGAGAAATTAAAGAAAAACCTGCCTTAATGGAAGTTTTTAACGCCCCTTTATAAAAAAAACAAAAAAATGGTGTCATGTATTGATATGGCTATGTCTTAAGGTGATGACCTTTGAACCAGATGTTGTTGTCCGAAGGAAGCCCCGTTAAGTGGCTAGTTGTAAGATGGACAGTGTTCAATAAAGCAACATAAATACCGTGCTTTATGTCCTGATTCAATTCAGAGTGCTCTGCCTAATTTAGTAATAAGGTGAGCATACAACAATGGCGACGAGGACGACACGGACCTGGATTTGTTTTTGTGAGAAGTAGACCCAGCGGCGGCACGGTGTTAGCGAAAAAAAAAAACTTGTGGGCTAACATGGAAAAGTCGGGTATTCAACCGTTCGCCTGCTACACGGATCCAGCTACGCTCGGACCGAGATGGACGCACTGGTTAACATCCTTCGAGTTGTTTGCTGATGGGAAAGGTCTTATTTTGACGGATGATGCTACAGACGCGATCAGACAGCGGAGACGCGCTCTTCTACTGCACATGGCCGGACAGGACGTGCAGGACGTCTTCTCCACTCTACCACAGACGGGAGAGGCAAAGGATTACAGCGCTGCGGTGACTGCGCTCAACACTTACTTTGTTCCTCAAGTGAATGCAGCATACGCACGCCAAACTTTCCACAAATTGTCCCAAACACCAGGTGAGACTGTGCAACAATTTTGTACACGTTTGAGGCGAGCTGCAAAAGACTGTGACTTTCAAGCTGACAATGATAACCAGATACGGGACGCTATCCTGAGTAAATGCACTTCTGAATATGTACGGAGAAAGCTGCTTGAGGAGGGTCCAGGCTTAACTCTTCTTATTGTATTCTAATTTTTGCCTCATAACTTTTGCACTGTCCACTTCCTGCTGTGACAAAACAAATTTCCCACGTGTGGGACTAATAAAGGTTATCTTATCTTAACTCTAAATCGCACGTTAGAGGTGGCTTCACACTGTGAACGTGTGGAGGAGCAGATGGCGGCGATGAGCGTCACCGGGGAAAAGAAAGGAGAGGACACGGTCAGCCGGATTTTTACAGCAAAGAAAGAGAAGAACAACAGACCAAAAGGAAAAATGAAAGATGATAATAAAACAGAAAGACAGTGTTACAGGTGTGGTTATACTGACCACATGGGCAAAGATCCCAAATGCCCAGCACGAGGACAAACATGTCACAAGTGTAATGGTAAGGACCACTTTTCAAAAATGTGTCGTACAAAAGAAACAAAATGTGAATGCTGTTGAACAAGATGATTATGCATTTACTGTAAATGATGATAATATACCTGAGAAACTTACCTTTTCTGTTGGGGGAATAGAGTTGAAAATGTTAGTTGACTCTGGAGCTACAAGTAATGTGATGGGAGAAAACATATGGGAAAAGCTAAAAGCTGAAAAGATAAAATGTCACTCATATGTACCCAAAGAGCAGAGGAATTTATATGCATATTCCTCAGCACAGGCACTCACGGTTAAAGGCGCATTCAGATGTGAAATCAAGATTGGTGACAGGACTGAAGAGGCTGAATTTATTGTGATTAGAGGTAATGGTGAACCACTCCTGGGGAAAAAGACTGCCATAAAGTTAGAAGTGTTGAAAATAGGTGAAAATGTGGCGGCTGTCACAGATTTAAAGCACACTCTTAAAGAAAAGTATCCAAAAGTGTTCAAAGGAGTAGGAAAACTAAACACCAAACAGATCAGCCTGTACATTGATCCAAATGTGAAACCAGTAGCACAGCCACTGAGGCGCATACCTTATCATTTGAGGGATGCAGTGGAGAAAAAGATCAATGAACTAATTGACATGGACATTATAGAACGTGTAGAAGGACCTACACCTTGGGTAAATCCTGTAGTGGTACTCCCAAAGAAATGTGACAAAGATATCAGAATGTGCTTAGACATGAGAAAAGCAAATGAGGCAATAATCAGGGAAAGATACCCCATACCCACTGTGGATGAAATCTTGCAAGGACTAAACGGCTCTGCAATCTTCACCAAACTCGATCTCAAGTGGGGATACCATCAACTAGAGCTTACCCCGGAGTCAAGAGAGATAACTACATTTGCAGTGCACAACGGAGTATACCGGTACAAAAGGCTAATATTTGGAGTCTCATCAGCTAGTGAGCAATATCAGCATGAGATTGCCAATGCACTAGCTGGCATTGAAGGAGTTGAGAACATTTCAGATGACGTAATCATACACGCGCCAGACCAAGAAACACATGATAAGCGCCTGCATGCTGTGATGAAGAGACTCTCTGACTGTGGCCTGACACTAAACTCAGAGAAGTGTCAGTTCAACATGGACAGACTCGTGTTCATGGGAATACTGCTGACACAGAAAGGCATCGGCCCGACTGAAGAAAGAGTGAGAGCTGTGGTGGAAGCCCGAGAACCGAAGAATGCTACTGAGGTGAGAAGCTTTCTTGGACTGGTAGGCTTCAGTAGCAGGTTCATACCACAGTTTGCTACACTCTCTGAACCACTAAGACGTTTAACTCGAAAAGAAACTATGTTTACATTCGGGCCAGAACAAAAGCAAGCATTTGAAAGACTAAAGACTGAGTTAGCCAGAGCAGGTACCCTAGCCTATTTTGACAAAGAAGCCCCAACCAGAGTCATAGCAGATGCAAGCCCTGTAGGCTTGGGCGCAGTGCTAATACAAATACAGAACGGAGAAGAGGTACCAGCGTGCTACGTAAGTCGGAGTTTAACAGACTGTGAGCGAAGATATTCTCAAACAGAAAGAGAAGCCCTAGCACTGGTATGGGCATGTGAGAGACTACATCCATATGTGTATGGCAGGAAGTTTGACCTCATCACAGACCACAAGCCATTAGAGGTCATATACAGCCAGAAATCTAAACCTTGTGCACGCATAGAAAGATGGGTTCTCAGACTGCAACCATATGACTTTAAAGTAGTGCACATTGCGGGAAAGCAAAACATTGCGGATTTACTGTCAAGACTGCTGGCTGACACCACGTCAAAAGAGATACATAAGCATGAATCTGAAGAATACGTGAGATTTGTTGCAGTTAATGCTACTCCAAAAGCACTCACAACAAGAGAGGTTGAAGAAGCCTCTGCTACAGACTCAGAATTAACAGAAGTGCGAAGAGCTATTGAAAACGGACACTTTGAAAAATGCAAAACATATGCACCCATTGCAAATGAACTGTGTGTCATCGGCTACATAGTTTTGCGGGGAACTCGCATTGTATTGCCAGAAAACCTCAGAGCTCAAGCACTGTCACTAGCTCATGAAGGACATTTAGGAATTGTTGGAACCAAACAGCATCTCAGAACAAAAGTTTGGTGGCCAGGGATGGACAAAGCTGCAGAAAAGTTTTGTAAAGCTTGTCACGGATGTCAAATAGTAGCCAGACCAGATCCACCTGAACCACTGAGAAACACACTTTTACCAGATGGACCATGGCGAGATGTGGCGGTAGACTTACTGGGACCACTACCTTCGAACCACTCAATACTTGTACTGATAGATTACTACAGTCGGTACTATGAGTATGATGTAATGTCATCTACAACTGCTGAAAAAGTCATCGACTCTATTGACTGTATATTTAGCAGACATGGGCTACCAGTTACAATCAAATCTGATAACGGCCCACAGTTCAAATCTGAGCTGTTCAGAGAATATTGTGAAACTAATGGAATCAAACATATAAGAACTACACCAAAATGGGCTCAAGCAAATGGAGAAGTGGAACGGCAAAATGCATCATTGATGAAAAGAATCAGGATCGCACAAGCCGAAGGACTTGACTGGAAGCGAGAGCTAAGAAAATATGTAACAGTGTATCGCAGCATTGAACATCCAACCACGGGCAAAAGTCCAGCAGAACTACTGTTCAACCGCAAAATGAGAGGAAAGTTACCGAACATCAGTGAGGCAAAAACAACGGAGTTGGACGTGCGTGACAGAGACGCTGAACAGAAGGGAAAATCAAAGACTTATGCTGATGTACGAAGGGGAGCTGAGTATTCAAAAGTTGACTCGGGAGACACAGTGCTGGTTCAACAAGACAAAGTGGACAAGTTTACAACACCATTCAACGCAACACCACACAAAGTTGTAAGCAGAACTGGAAACCAAGTCATTATTGAATCACCAACAGGAGCTCGCTATCACCGGAATACCACACATGTGAAGAAATACGAGACGAATGAGACCAGAGAAGGACACTATGACACAATACCTGAAAGGGAGGAAGGTGAAACACCCACAAAGACTGACACCTTCACTCCAACACCACAAGAGGGCTCCCAGGGGCCAGAGAGACCAAGTAGATCACAGAGGGCTAAAAAGATACCCGAGAGGTTTCGTGATTTTGTGGTGAAATGAACTATACCGTATTTTCACGACCATAAGGCGCACTTAAAAGTCTTAGATTTTCTTCAAAAAGTACGGCGCGCCCTATAGCGCAGTGCGCCCTGTGTGATGTAAGGAGGACGTAGTAGAGAACACCATGAGAACGCTAAAGGGTGAAGTGTGGGCGCAACCCTGAAAATGGCAAAGAGACACGCTTATGAAGCACAGTTTAAACTGAAGGCCATCAGCTACGCGGAGGAACATGGAAATCGAGCAGCGGCGAGAGAATTTAAGATTAACGAATCGATGGTTCGCAAATGGAGGAAGCTAGAAAACAAGCTCCGGCAGGTCAAGAAAACGCAGCTGAGTTTCCGCGGACATAAGGCGAGGTGGCCCGAGTTGGAGGAAAGACTCGAGCGGTGGATCATCGAGCAAAGAACGAGCGGGAGAAGCGTTTCGACGGTCACCATTCGGCTAAAAGCAGTTTCACTTTCACTTTTTATGAAACGGTGCCATTTTTCCATCCGGACCAGGACTACGGTAGCGCAGCAACTTCCAGCGGATTATAAGGAAAAGCTGGCCATCTTCCGCTCCTACTGCAGCAAACACATCGGCGACAAAAACATCCAGCCCAGCCACATCACAAACATGGACGAGGTCCCGCTCACTTTTGACATCCCGGTGAGTCACACTGTGGAGAAGAAGGG